TTTGTTTTTGCTCTGGATCTCATAGACTTTTTTTTTTTTTTTTTTAATTTACTTTTGGCTGCGTTGGGTCTTCATTTCTGATCACGGGCTTTCTTTAGTTGCGGCGAGCTGGGGCTACTCTTTGTTGCGTGTGCGGGCTTCTTATTGCGGTCTTGCTGTGGAGCATGGGCTCTAGGTGTGTGGGCTTCGGTAGTTGTGGCCCACAGGCTCTAGAGCGCAGGCTCAGTAGCTATGGAGCATGGGCTTAGTTGCTCCACTGGCATGTGGGATCTTCCCGCACCAGCGCTCGAACTTGTGTCCCCTGCGTTGGCAGGTGGATTCTTAACCACTGCGCCACCAGGGAAGCCCACAGACTTCTTTTTATATTCAACCTTTTCCCTCCTTAATTGGAGCTTTGTCATAAACATTTGAGCAAGCTTCCCTTAACCTGTCCTTCCCTAGCATTTGTTCTATATTTATCTTCCCCATTTATCACCTTATAAACATGGTCTATACTGACTCCCTCAACCCATTGTTCTCTGGTTTCTACCCCTACCTTTCCACTGAAACTATACTTGGTCAGGTCACCAAAGGCTTCTGTTTTTAACTCCAAAGACTCTTTTTTTAATTGAGGACAGGGACTGTTTTGCTAACACTTGTATCCCTAAGGCCTCTGCAGTGCCTGATGCATAGTGGAATCTTTGAATATATTTGATGAATATTCATTCAAAGCATGTATGAATGTATTTCAGTTTACTAATGTCTGTTATGACTCTTTGCTCTGGCCTTGTTTATGTCTTCATGTGTTTCCTTGTTTTGTTTTGTTTTCTAACTCTATTTGAATTTGGTACTTTTTCTATTTGTCTTTTTCTTGTTATGTTCAAGATAATTCTTATATCGAAAGCTGTTATCTCTCATGGGATTTACCTTGTCAGTGTGTTACTTTGCTTTCAAAAGTGGAGCTATATTATCAGAAAGTTTAGCCTGATACTCCAAATATGAGCATTAGCCAAGCACAGCACTTAAAGGTATAGTGATTTAAGAGTAAGGCCTTTACTTTCTGGCAGCCCTGAGTTTGAAAACGGGGTGTATGATCTTGGGTAAGTTATCTAACCTTTTGATTCCAGTTTCCTCAGTGTTAGAATGGAAATAATATGTTTCCTAGGGTTTGAGAAGGAATAAATTAGATAACAGAGTAAAAGTTCTTAGCATGGTGCCTTATACCTGGTTAAAAAAAGAAGCAGTAGGACTTCCCTGGTGGCGCACCGGTTAAGAATCCGCCTGCCAATGCAGGGGACACAGGTTCGAGCCCTGGACCAGGAAGATCCCACATGCCGCGGAGCAGCTAAGCCGGTGCGCCACAACTACTGAGCCTGCGCTCTAGAGCCCGCGAGCCCCAACTACTGTGCCTAGAGCCCGTGCTCTGCAACAAGAGAAGCCACCACAAGGAGAAGCTTGCACACCACAATGAAGAGTAGCCCCCGCTCACTGCAACTAGAGAAAGCCTATGTGCAGCAACAAAGACCCAACGCAGCCAAAAATTAAATAAATAAATTTTAAAAAAACAGAAGAAGAAAGTTACATTTACTTACATGTTTATTATTTCTGACACTCCTCATCTCTTTGTGTAGTTCCAGGTTTCCATCTGGTACCATTTTCTAACAGCCTCAAGAGCTTGTTTTTAATATTTCTTATGGTATTGATCTATTGGCATCAAATTTTCTCAGCTTTTGTGTTTCTAAAAATATCTGTTTCACCTTCAGTTTTAAAGGATATTTTTGCTGGATATAAAATTATAGATTGATAGGATTTGGGGTTTGTTCTTTTTTTTTCTTTCACTAGTTTAAAGATATTATTCCATTATCTTCTGGCTTGCATTTTTTCTGATAAGAATTTTGCCATTATTCTTATCTTTATTTTTTTCTCTGCCTGCTCTTAAGATTTTCTCTTTATCATTGCTTTTCAGCCATTTGATTACAGTGCCTTTGTATGGTTTTCTTTTGTGCTCAAATGCTCAAAGTTTATTGAGCTTCTTGGATATCTGGGTTTATAACTTTCATCAGATTTGGAAAATATTCCGTCATTAACTTTTCAGATATTTTTTTGTGTAATTGATATGAGCCAGATATGGTATAAACTCTTAATTTCTTTGGATCTGTTGCCTAAGTCAGCTAGTAATTTGATTTTGTTAATATGCTATAGAATTGTATGTTATTTACTGTACATTTTGCAACTAAAGAGGTTTTTTTTTTTTTTCTTCTTGTTTAGCAAAGAAGAACTTAAAAAGTGGGTTTTGTGTGATGTTGGAATCACAGTGAGGCTAGGCTATATCTTTCCTTTGGGCAGCAGTGTGGGAGAGAATAATAAAATTTGTTTGATCTTTATTTTAGATGGTATCTAAGAAAGTTGTATAGCATGAAGATTTGTCCACAAAGATATCATCTCCCCTTTTTTACCATGTATTCAGGAACTCTTTCTATGAATAGCTATTGCCCTAAGCTGCAGTGCAAATTATTTGTAGTGATGACTTAGGGTCACTCCAAGGAATGTTCTGCTGTTGCCATTGAAGTCTGTGTATGTTTATTTTTCCTATATAATTTATGTAAGAAAATATAGTAAACCTGTGTTGTCAATTGTCTTATTAATCAAAAATTTCTAGAAATTAGGATTTTTGTTTTGCATTGTGATGAGGAGGAAGAGAGTGGGAAGAAGAACTAGAGAGACCTCTGGGACAGAATGTATACCAGAGGCTAAAACCAATAAGATTTCCTGGAGAAGAGTTTTTCAGGTTTAAGGAAAAGGGGAATATGGGTGGGTCTTATGCTTTTAAATAGGCAAACTCTGAATAAAATCATAAGCAATAAAATAGTCACAATTTAGTGTTGTTGTTTTTTTTTTGGCTGCATTGGGTCTTCGTTGTTGCGCATGGGCTTTCTCTAGTTGTGCTACCCTTTGTTGCCTTGTGGGGGCTACCCTTTGTCGCAGTGCACAGGCTTCTCATTGCGGTGGCTTCTCTTGTTGCAGAGTATGGGCTCTAGGCGCACGGGCTTCAGTGGTTGTGATGCACAGGCTCGGTAGCTGTGGCTCGTGGGCTCTAGAGTGCAGGCTCAGTAGTTGTGGCACGGGCTTAGTTGCTCCGCGGCATGTGGGATCTTCCCAGACCAGGGATCAAACCCGTGTCCCTACGTTGGCAGGTGGATTCTTAACCACTGCACCACCAGAGAAGTTCCACAGTTTAGTTTTGAACATGTGAATTGTTGAAAATTGAGGTCTGTATTGCATCATGGAATAATGAATAAACGAAGTTTAGGTTCTGGAATTCTGATACACCTGGATTTGAACCCCACTATCTTTGTGATTTGGGGCAAATTTCCTAAAATCTCTGAGCCTTTGTTTCTTTATTTATTTATAAAATTGGAAAAATAGTAGTTACCTCAGGTTGCTATGAAAATTAAATCGATAATGGTTTATGTAATCCACTTGTCGATTACCTAGATCCCCAGTGATTATTAGTTTTCTTTATATATTCACTTTAAATTTTATTCTTTCATTCAGGGACCTTTTAAACATTTATAATATTTAAACAAACCCCTATGGCATTCATGAGACTATACTAATGAGCTTGGGTTTTGTCATGAGGTATTTTCTCCCAGTCTTTTTCACTGAAGTACAACTAAAGTCACATGCTTTGGAAGTATGGAGCCAAAGTCCACATAGACCTCCTGCATGTTTGAAATTTCTCTTAAGACTGGTGTTATATTGTTAAAAATTATGAATAACTTTGTCCTTTATTCTAGAATTGATTAATGTGCATTCTTAGCTTCAGTATCCTCATTTTAGAATGAGGATAATAACATTTACATCTTAGGATTTTTGGGAAGAGTAATAATACCTATAATGATAATAATGACAATAATAGCTAACAGTTTTGAGGGCTTATTTAACAAGAAACAGTCCTAGGTGTTTTATTTCTGTTACCTCATTTAATCCTCAAAACATCTCAATGAAGAAGGTACTTTTTATATTTAGTTATATATATATATATCTCCTTCTTACTCCTGACAAAACTGGGGCATAGAGAAGCAGTTTTCCTAAGGTTATACAGCTAATAAGTGGCAGAGCATAGTTAGAACCCAGGCAGTCTGAATATAAGGTACTTAACTACTACATTTTATATTCCCATTCTGTGAGATCAGGTGTATAGAACATTTAGCATAGAATCTGCTACATAATAATTTTAAATGTAAGCAGTTATCAGTATTCAATAATAATTAATTTATTTTGTCCAAATCTTGGAGTTAACTTGATGTCTCTAAGAAATTGTGTTATGTCTTTCCTGTGGCTTGAGTTATTCCCGGCATGCCGTTGAGTGCAGCGTGATACCCAAGCCCATGCCTTTAACCACTACTTTCTACTGCTTCCTCTTTCCTTGTTGGTCTGTGTCCACATTAGAATTTAAATCTGGTAGGAACTATAATCTGTTTTGTTCGTCATTGTATACTTCGTCCTTAACACTGTATCTAGTACATAGAAATGACCAAATCATTGTTCAGTGAGTGAATGAAGATCTAAAACCTGCCGTTTTCAGCTGGTCTTGGAATGTAAGCATTATTTATACCATCTATAATTGTGGTTTAATTACTTTACATGTTTTTCCTTCCATAAGCAGTCCAGTTTGGACCAACCATCTGCTCCTGTGTTCTACAGGGCACTCTCACCTTGGTGCTGCAAGAGCCCTGCTGGGTAACTGGTTTCTGCCTTACAGAGATCACTCAGCTTGCAGGCAGGGAGGGAGATTAGAATAACACTTTGATCCCAAACTAGAATTTTAGAAATATACAAAACAGAATTTTTAAATGTGTATTCTAAAGAAACTAAATATAAAAAGGAAAAAAAGCTTTGATATTTTCCCTTTGCCTTTGACATTAGATCATTTTAAATAAAGAGAAAATTTAACTTTCTTCAAGGGGGTTCTCTGTTATTGTGGGTTAACTCATATTTTCCTCCTCTCCTCTATCTAGAATGTCTTAAACCATTCTACCTTATGAGAAATTGGATGTTCTTGCAGATAGTCATTGTGGGAGAAAACGTTTCATTTAAGTCCCAGATGAGGACCGGAAACTTGAAATCAGAGGAGCATCTGAAATCAAGTAATATTAGGTAGGATGAAAATTACAAGGGATTTCTACATGTTTGTATTCCTTTTAGAGATATATGTTAAAGTATTCATATACTATGAACACTAGTACAAGAATTAGAAGCTTTCTGAAGCATTTGATATTGGCCAGGATGGGGGAGGGGAGTGCTAATGGTTTGGGGTTTTTTGTTTGTTTGTTTTTTAAACTTATGTAGCTTCATAAGAACTTTGGCATGTTTACTTTGTCATGAGTGTTTATATCTTATAGTTCAAGGAAAATTTTTAAACATTTAAATTTAAGAAATGTTTATGTTTATATATGTGGTCTCTGAATATTTATGATAAGCATAGGGACATGTGCTTTATCTTGTAGATTATCCTTTAAAATAAAAATTCCTATGTTTTGGGTTACATATATTGCAGTTCATTTGAGTGCAGGGAACATCAGTTCTTGGTTCTATATGTCAGCCTGGATGCAGTCAAGCCTCCTAGGTGCCTATAGAATAGGTATATGATGGTATATAAGAGAAGCCCTCTGCAGGTATCTCTTGTCACAGCAGCTTGTATCAGTTCAAATGACAGTGTGAAGGTGCTTGATCTTAGAGATGGGGCTTTTAAATGAGAACTGCTAGTTGCCCCTACAAGTTGATACTATGATAGTGACACCTATAGCCAGGCCATTCCAGAAGACTTGCTTTACTGTGTAACACTTATGAGCTTTGGAACCAGACTGCAGGGTGGAACCCAAGTTCTACCACTTCCTAGTTGTGTGAGTTTTTAAGTTTTATATAATCAAAGCTAATGTTTGGGGAGAACCAAAAAGTACAATAACATAAATTCTTTGCAATTTTTATGTATCAATCTCTGGTTTTATTTTATGTGCATACTAGAATGCGGTCATTATTACATTCAAACAGTTTCTCTTTTGTCACTTAGCCTTATGTGATGGTATCTAGGATTTTTGACCTCCACCTTGGAATGTTGTCTTCTTCAACCTAGTGTGTTGCTTCAGAAAGGATCCTTTGTCAGTGACTAGATTAGCAAAAGTAATTTGGTGGTCACTGAAGTATTCAAGTCATAGTCAGATTAACCCTCCCTCTCGGGAGTTATCACTCATGTTCTTTTATGTAACTTACCTGTTGTCTTATTTATTCCTGATAGCAACTCTGAAAGGGAGTTTGTATCCCTGTTTTATAGATGAGGAAATTGAAGTTTCTTGGAAAGAAATTCCAAGGTAGCACTACTAATATGTAAGAAACCCAGATTCAGGGCCACGTCTTTTTTATTCTGTATCATTTTGTGTTACATAAAATTGCCTTAAGTATGATGCACATTTTACCGTTCATTAATTCAGCAACATTTTACTGAACAGCTATGACGTACCAGGCATTATTCTCTGTGTTAGGGAACCTTCTTCCTCACATTTTTCCATTGTGTCTAATCCATATGGCACTCATCACTTTTTCTCAGGTTCTTTTGCCTATTCATTTTGTAATTAGCTCAGAGACTTACCATTCTCCTCAGTTAATCTCCCTCTTAGTTTCAGACACTGATCTGATTCTCCTACTTTATCTCTGAATTTGAGGCAATGTAGCAGTGAATTCTCTGGACATCTCTCCACCCTGCACTACTCCCAAATTTTCCTAGCATATTTCTGTCTAATCTTACCTTCCTCCAATTTCATCCTGCCTCTTTTTCAAAGCCAGTCTTGCCTCCTGTCTTTTTCACATTCTCATGTCTTTTCATCTCTTCCAGAATCGTGCTCTGTTAGTTTTGTTCTTTCCTATATCTTCAAGCTATTCCTTTTTCCTAGCTTCTTTTCTTCATTCTAAACATGCTCAAGTCTCTCCCATTGAAAAAAAGCAACGTCTCTTTACCCATGGCCCCCTTCTCTTTCTCTTCACAGCCCGGTGTCTTAAGAGTTGCCTTAGACTTCTCCCTCTCATTTGTTCCTCATTCTCACTGCAATTTGACATTTTTTCTTTGTCTGGCAAGGCTATCGTTGACTCTTATTTCACCAAATCTAACACACCTTCCAATCCTTATAGTACTTATCCACTGCCTTTGAGATTGTTGAATACTCTTCCTTTTTATCCTCTTCTTTTCCCTATACCACTCTTCTCTTGCTCTCGTACACCTGTAGTTTCTTCTTGGTGTTCTTCATGGGCTGTCTTTCTTTTATCTGCCACTTAAAAATGAAGATAGGGAGCTAGCACCACCCTTCTGCCTTTCTAGGCAATTACATTTACTCTTACGGTTTTAACTACCATCGCTGTGCTGATCACTCCAACACTGTATCCCTGGTCTTGATGTCTCCCCTGTGCTTGACACTCATCTTTAAGTGTCTGCTTGCTCACCCCCAGTTTGTCAAACACCCAGATGTCCAAGGCAACAATCTGGGAATGATTTTAGACTGTTTCCTCTGCTTTATTTTTCTCCTGCTGATTTTACTTCCACATATTTCTTGAATCGAGGCTTTTCTGTTCATCTGTATTATCACTTCCTTTCTTCCAGTCTCGCCCTTTTAAAATCCACCTTCCATGCATCTTGTTGTTGTAGTCTTTTAAAAATGCAATTCTGACAATGCTGTGCCCCTGTTTAAAACTCAGCACTGTTCTCCTAGTAGTTAAAAGATAGAATCTGAGCTCCTTAACATGTCATACAAGGCCTCACAGTCTGCTCTCTGCCTTGATTCTCCAGCTCATCTTCTGTAGCTTGCTACCGTGCATTTGATCTATTAATCTACCTCCTTCACTGGCTTAGCTTTGTTTTTTGTTTTTTTTTGTGGTACGCGGGCCTCTCACTGCTCTGGCCTCTCCCGTTGCGGAGCACAGGCTCCGGATGCGCAGGCTCAGTGGCCATGGCTCATGAGCCCAGCCGCTCTGCGGCACGCGGGATCCTCCCGGCCCGGGGCACGAACCCGTGTCCCCTGCATCGGCAGGCGGACTCTCAACCACTGCGCCACCAGGGAAGCCCAGCTTTGTTTTTATTGTTGTGATATTTTCTCTGCCTGGAAGAATAACTCCTTCTCATACTTTGAGATTCCCAGACCAGAAATGGCCCTTTATAAAACTAGGTACACATATTCAAATTGTATAGATTGTAGAGTGAACGTTGTAATATAGAGCAGTGGAGTGTCAGGAGATTTGAAAATTCGTGCCAAAACGTTCCATAAAGACAGAAAGCAAGTTAGTATTTTTATTATCTCTTACTGAGAAAAGCTCCTTTAGGAGCAGCATCTTCCCTAGATGTTCTTTTCTATGTGAAATTCAACAGTAGAGTGATGTGATTTATTTTTTTCTGATTAATGCCATGAGACTTGGTGGTATCTTAAAGATCTAAGTGTATATGTGCATGTGTGTCTGCATGTGTAAGCACACACTCACCTTATAGTGTCTACTGTCTGGTCTGTTATTTAACACAAATAATTATCATTAGGTTATTATGTTTATGGTCATAATTGTTGGCTACTGTTATCCCAAATACTCCGTAGTACTTTATGGAAATAGGTAAACAAATTATCTTGAAATAAAACCTGCTGTGGCTTTTATTTAAATTTCCAAAAATAAGTTGCTCTAGCATTACCTCCCAGAACAAAAGAGCCTGATTTACCTTTCCTTAACAACTGTGAGTTTAGAGGATATTGGCTTATATTCCTATGTTCTGCTCATAGGAGAAAGGGGGTTGGAAAGCCAGGTAAAAGGAATCCTTCATTGTATCGGCCCCTGATTTGGAAATGTCCTATATTTTTAAACCATGAATATTAATGTGTGATCATAGAGAGATTATCCTGTATTTGTTACCTTGCATTGTTATATCAGTGCTATGTATAATCAAGCTATTTGTTAAAGAAGATAACCATTAGTTTTTTTCCTCTAGTGACATTATTAAAAAATTACCATAAAATGTTTAACCTTTGAAAACCCCAATTCTTTGGGCAATTACTATCAAACATTCCATTTCTTTTTTTCCCTTTACAGTCTTGTATAACAGGGGAACTATGATACAATGGTTAGGAGTTAGCCTCTGGAATCAGGGTGTTAAAATGCTACCTCTACTACTTGCTAACTTGATGACTTTGGGCATGTTACTTAATCTCTATCTCCTTGGGTTTCCTCAGCTATAAAGTGGGGGCAATAATAGTACATAGTGAGGATTGAATGATTACCCTATGGAAAGCCCTTACTTTAGAACAGTGTCTGGCAATAATAAGTGCTAAATATAGTGTAAGCTATTTTAGTATATACCTAGTGCATTAGAATGCATTAAATGTATTTATAGATCTTGATGATCATGTTCTCTCCAAGAGTAGTGTTTCAGATGGTTAGCTTTAAACATATTTGATTATCACTGAATGTTTCAAATTTTATTCAGTCTTTTAATGACTTTCTCTTTTAGTGTTTGATAGAAATGCTTAATTTCCCTTATTTACGAACTGAGACAATATATTTAGTATTTTGAAAACTTTATATTTTATAACTATTTAATAGTGCTATTTTATTATTGAAGGCATGATGATTTTACTTCTTGGATTCTTCATTCATTCATTCTTTTCTTTAATTCCTTTAGCTTAAAGTAAGAATAAAAAGGATCTCATGTGGCCACACCTTCTAGAAGCCAAGAGGAAACATTTAAAAACTATTGTCTCTTTATATAAGCATTGTAATGTTAATCTTTAACAATATTGGTCTTTAACAAAACCAGTAGGTCATTGAGGTGTAGTATTTAAAAACGTAAAATAATCAAATAGCCAATTTTGTGCTAATCTTTATGAAAGCAGTTGGTATAAGATCACATATCTATTGATTTGATTTCTTGTATATTATACATTATTAAAAAAACTAAGAGTTGTGTAGGGGTGGGAGAATAGGGATTCCTTTTCTTGTGAGATAATTTTTAGTTTAACCCTCTCACCTATCTAAATGGGTATTTTTGGTACACAGAAAAAGGAAGAGTTAGTGGATAATAATATATAAACCTAACCATGTTTTAAGCAATTTGCAAATTAATTCCATCAGAAATATAGCATGGCCTACAAGTACTAACTTTCTGATTACATGAGACTATATTTTAACATAGTCTTCTTTGTGACAAGATTATGACATTAACAAATAAAAATAGATCTTTAGTCTGAGGAAACTGTTATTGATGATTCCTCATATGGGAAAACTGTTTGGTTTGGGAACTTACACATATTCGACTTCTCATTTTTGATGAAGTACTCCCTGAAGCAGGAGAGCCAAAATTTTCTGTAAAGGGCCCAGATAGTAACTGTTTTAGGCTTGATGAGACATGTGATTGTTGTCTCAGCTACTCACCTCTGCTCTTGTGGCAGAAAGCAGCCATAGACAATATGTAAACGAATGGGCGTGACTGTTCCAATAAAATTTATTTATAAAAATTGATCCAGTGTGAAGGAGTGAATTTCATCCACAGGCTGACCACTGCACTAGAATGTGAATTTTACTTCTTGTGGTCCTTTTGATAAAAATCCCAGGTATTTATTTCCTAATGTGATCTTTTAAAAAATATCTGTTTATTTAGTTTATTTATTTATTATTTTTGGCTGTGTGGGGCCTTAGTTGCAGCACGTGGGATCTTCGTTGCCCTTCGTTGCAGCACGTGGGCTCTTTGTTGCGGTGCGTGGCATGTGGGCTCCAGAGCGCGTGGTCTCTGTAGTTTGCCGCGCACAGGCTCAGTAGTTGTGGCGCACGGGCTTAGTTGCCCCGCGTCATGTGGGATCTTAGTTCCCCGACCAGGGATCGAACCCACATCCCCTGCATTGGAAGGCAGATTCTTAACCACTGGACCAGGGAAGTCCCTGAACCGATTTTTTAATTTAGACTAGTTGTCTTAAATGTTAGGGTTTAATCGACAGAGCAGAAAACTGAACCTAGATAAGTCTACGTTAGCTTTTTATGTCATAGAATTTTTTTATTCTAATTTAAAAGAAATAGAAATGACTTGGACTTTGGAGTCAGAAAGAACTAAGTTTGTACTTAATTGTACCTAATTGCTTTGTGACTATGGACAAATTATTTCAGAGCTTCAACTTCCTTGTTTATGGGATGGGAATCATAGTAGCTATCTCCCAGGGTTGTTACATTTTCCATTTAGCTAGCTTTTCACCATTTCAATTTAGCAAGGTTATTTTAGTCATTAACACATGTCTCTTTCAGAACCTAGGAGAGAACTGTGCACAGAGGAGCATCTCTTCCCCTGTGTTAATAAGGAATCAGAGCTCTTGGAATTTCAAAATGCTTGTGTCAGATAGTTTTTATGACATTTTTGCACTTTTGTTTGTGTTTGGATTTTTAGTTTTACATTTTTCTTGGGCAGATTATAGTGTATAAAAATGTAGAGTGAAATTTTGATCTTTGTTTATCAAAGCCTAGAAGCCTGCTCCAGAAACTGTTAGAATTATAGTTCTTCTCTTACTGATGGCCCATCTGAGAAGCAGATTATTTGGAAATAGTTCCTATTATATGCTCAATATGATCTTCATTTGACTGGCAATTGGTATCCTCATTAGGCAGATGTTAGCATACCAAGATGACATTTGTTCATCTTTACAAGCAAATCTTGTTTGGAAAGAGAAAGCAATCATTAGACACATGATCCTAAGTGTATCTTGTATAAACTAGAGTATGTATTTTTAGCTAACATATGGAAGCATTGTGAAATAAGTCCTTTGTAACTTGGCAGCTTAGAATGAAAGGTATTGAATCCAGTGGAGATGCATAAGTAAGGTTGGCTGTCTCAGTATAAGGTTCATAAGTTAGTACTCTAGGAGGGTTTTGGGGTGGGGGAGGAGAGGAGGTTGTTGGTAGGTTAGGATGTGTGCTATTCCTAAGTATGATCTTAGGTTTTTTGTTTTTTTTTTCGGTATGCGGGCCTCTCACTGTTGTGGCCTCTCCTATTGTGGAACACAGGCTCCAGACACACAGGCTCAGTGGCCATGGCTCACGGGCCTAGCCGCTCTGCGGCATGTGGGATCTTTCCGGACCGGGGCATGAACCCGTGTCCACTGCATCGGCAGGTGGACTCTCAACCACTGCGCCACCAGGGAAGCCCTGATCTTAGGTTTTAAGGGCATAAATCAAATATTTTGTGAGGGTTTTGTTTTTTTTTTTTACGGCTAAAGTTTAACACTCAAACTAGGCTTTATGGATAATGGAATTTGATGTGATGTTACCTTTTAGGACTAAGTGTAGCTGTTTTATTTGGTATTGTTCATTTATATTGATAGTTCTTGTGGTTTGTGGTTTCTATAGCATCCTATTGTGATTCTATTTGAAAGCTTAATTTTTAAAAAATATAGATATCTTTTTAAAAGCTAAGAAAACAAAAAGATTCATGTTATGTTCTGATGAAACTAAAATTCACAATTGTTATCAAATAATAAATTACATAAAGCATTTACAGTAAAACTTATAGAATCTCTAAATATTCTCTAGCTTTTATGTCAAATCTTGTTTTTAAAAATGGAAATCTCGTAAGTTTATATACTTACCTTTTTAGAGTATATGAAAATAATTTAGCCTTTTTCCTTTCTTCACTTAAAAAATATGTATTGAATGCCCACCGTGTAGGCAAAGAAGTTGTGATGGTGAGCATTCCTAAAATCTGTGATACACCCTGTAAAGAAAAAATGCAAGTGCTTTGAGAGCATAAAACAGGAATATCCTTCATGTATGCAGGGTTCAAGTAAAGCTTCCTGAGGAAGTAATGTCTCTACTGAGACAAAGGATGAGTAATTAACCAGACAAAGGAGGAAGATGTATTCCTAGCAAAGGGACTCTTCTTTACAAAGGCCCTGAGCGTCAAGGGAGCCAAGCACATTGGAGAATCCAGAAAGAAGTCCAGGGGCTGGAACACAGAGACCAAGGAGAGAAGAGAATAATGGTAGAAGTAGAGTACAGAGACTCTATTCAGTTACAGAGGACTTTGTAGACCACTTTAATAAAGATCTTGGTTTTTACCCTAAAAGCAGTGGAAAATCATTAAAGGGTTTTAAGTGCGCAATTGGTGAGGTCAGATTTGCATTTTTTAAAAGATCCCTCTGATAGCAGTGGAGAGAGCAGAATGAAATGAGACAAGAGTGAAGTGGAGAAAACAATTTGGTGGCTTTGCTATAGTCCAGGCAAGGGATGCTTGTAACTTGAATTATAGTGACTGAAGAGGAAGTAAAGGGAGAGCTACAGATTCAAGATGTATTTGGTAGGTAAACTTTTTTGGAGTTGATAGATTACCAGGGATTTGAGAGAATGTTATCATGGATGACTTCTAGGTGTCTGCTTTTCACAACTGGAAAGCCATGATACATTTGCTAAGGTACAAAACACTAGAAAGAGAACCAGGGATGGGGGTGGGGATGGGTCATGAGTTCAGTTTTGGACCTCTTGAATATAAGCAATTCTTGAAGAATTTGGGAGGGAGAAAAGAAGCAGCAGCTAGAGGAAAATCTAGGATAGAAGGTTTTAAAATCTGTGAGAGAATAGGGCATGTTTAAATACTGTGAGAAGGATCCAATAGAGAGGGAAGTTTTTAAATTATTGAAAGAGGGGAGAGGGTAATTAAAGGAGCAGAAGTCCTTAAAAAGGTTAGAAAGAGCATACCTAAGTGTAATTACTGGTGTTAAGTAAGAGATGCAGTACTGCTAGTATTTTAACAAGAGTAAGAAAGAAGAGGGCTCTGTGACTGTAAGTGTTTAGTAACTGGGCATTGTTTTTCCTGAGGTATGGGGCTGTCCTTTGCTGAAAAGAATTGAGGAGAATGGAGATTTGAAATAGTTATAGTGGCTAGTGAATTGAGAAACATAGAATTTCCTGGCCTCATGGAGGGAAAATTTGGAGGTAAACAGTAAGAAAATGAACTCTACTCAGTAGAAGAGTTCGTGATGACCCTGTGAACTTGTAAGGAATGGCATCAATTTGCCAAGATCTAATGCTACTCTAAACATTAAAGCAGGGACACTATTTGCAGTGCCACAAATGGAGCTGTTATACATTCTTACTGTCATATATAATTTTACTTAACTTTTAGTGTTACTTATGTCGGGTGAGCCTAGTTTGTTTCTAACTGAGGTTCTTTTTCCCTTTTTTAGGCAGGCAGAAGTCCTGAAGGCTGACATGACAGGTATTCGCTGGCTCTTTTGTTCTTCACAACTTATTTTATACCATTAAATTAAGGGAAGTGTATCATCTTATTATACTACTTGTAGTACTGTCCTGGTTGCCAGAGGGGATGATAACTTACTATTTATTTTAAATATTTATTGTTTTTATACTTTGAATTCTTACTTAGATGGCTTGTTAAAATTTTTATGTTATCTGTGCTACACTGAGTTGAATATTACTTAATTTAATGCATATACTCATTTAATTTTTACAAACTATTTATCAGCTACTTAAGAGATACAGAAAAAATAATTCATATACCATATAAACACAAATATCTCATAGTATTAGATTTATATCTTTGTGTTTGTAATTCCCCAAACTTGAATAGTAGGTAAACCTTCAGAAAAAAATGTTTGCAGGAAAACTCTTGCGAATTGAAAGTCCTTGAAATTGAATGAGCTACCTTGCCACTTTTCTTTCTTTTCTCACCTTTTTTGTTTTGAATAACAGCCAAGGTGTTTTTGAAAGAATAACTGGAATTAGTCACTAAAAGGAGCAGATGAATTTAACTCCAAAATAAGGAAATATATGGCAATAACTATGTAGTGATCAATATGTTCTCTATAACAGCATAACAGCAATATGCTTTCTATAACTGTCCTAAAATGTGAAAAAACAATAAGTGCTAATGGATCTCATGCTAATTTTTGAAGATTTTAGTTCTGCAATGAAACCTGCAAAGAGTTAAACTTGTAAGCAGCATACCTGCCAAAATTTACAACCAAGAGGAAATGGGCTATTTAGATCTCTTTTTCTCAACCTCTAGAATTGCAGGCTAATGTTCTAAGAATTTTAGGTAATCTCATTGTCATCTTGCTCAAGAAAAATAATGGAAAAACCAAAAACACTTTTTATAGGTTTATATTTCTTCCCATTATTAACATAACTGTCATCATCTTCCATACTATGGATTCTGATGTCAGCTCTGAGCTACTGTATTATGCTCTTGTATTGGCATTGTAAGCATAATCTATATTGCGTGACAGAAATTGTGCATGGAACAATGTTAAGCCATCTATATACCTTTTACATTTTCTTAACTCTTGAACACCCACAGTAAGTAGGCTTAGGGTTTGACTTTTGTAGGGGACATTTGACCTGCCCAGAAGGTGACCTGTCCTTAAGATACTAAGTCTGCTCATTTAAATGTCAGTCTCACTGATAGGTCAGAGTTAATGATCCCTTACATTCCTTTTCCTGCAATCAGTGAATTGAAGCAGGGTTGAATAAATCTATAAATCTATTTATTTAGTCATTAAAAGCTTAATAAGGAAGAGACCGAGAACCTGATACCAAAAAATAGGCCCTATTTTTTAGGAGCCAGCAAACTCTTGTAAGGATTAACTCTGATGTCTGGGAGTTTCTATATGCAGAACAGGATTATGCTGGCTCTAGATACTAATAGCAGACCTAAAGGAGAGTGAAGATTATGCCATTGTGCAGCGGCAAAATACTAAATGCAACCAGACAGGCTAACTAGCAGCCGGAAATATATAATTGCAAAGTCCATTATTAAGTTCTTCTCTTGAGGCAGCTCACTGTCAATTATTGCACTCATAAGCCTAGTAATCAGAAAGGCTAATGTGCCTTGTAGGACTCTGGCAGACAATATGGCCCCAATTTGGTATTACATATAGTTATAGCCTGACTTTCTGATTTCATCTTGCACCCAGTCTCTCATTTGGCCTCTTGAGCAGTTTAATCACTGTCTGCTACTGGTCCTCATTTACATTAAATAGCAAGTACGTATTGCTCACAAAAGTGTCTTGGCAAGCAGTCTACCGATGGTTAAAATAACACTCACTGTCAAGACTTTATTGGCTTGACATACATAGGAGAGTAGGAGTAATAGCAGAATGCCCAAACAGCTGCTGGATTGTGAGCTGACAGGAGGATTCTGTAAGGACAATTGTGAAAATGATTCAAAAGAAAAAGAGAAAAGCTTCTTTGGACAAAGAGATATAGTTATGAGAGTAAACAGACCAACTTGGCAGTCCGTCATTTCAAATGGGGTGACTTATTATGAGGCATATGGCTTCCTATGGTATGAATGCATAGAAATCCAAACCAAGATCAAAGGGTGAGCCATTCTCTTTTCTTAAGCCTTTTTCATTTCATGGCATTATTTCAAAACTAAAAGACAAATACAGAAGCATTTTGAAACAGATGTAGTCATTAGCCAAAAGGTGAAAGTCATCTGAAATGTAGTAGTATAAAACTTCTGCAGCTATCTATGATATCTGTTTAAAGCATGTTTTTGCTTTGGGGAATGGAGAGTGAAGGAATCGGTGGTGTGGCATAATGGTCTTAACTATCTGTTTATCATCTACTGTTCTGTTTTTGTTTTGTTACTCAGATTCTAAGCTGGGTCCAGCCGAGGTCTGGACATCCAGGCAGGCTCTGCAGGACCTGTACCAGAAGATGCTGGTTACTGATTTGGAATATGCTTTAGACAAGAAAGTAGAACAGGATCTGTAAGTACTATCATTTGGGATGTCCCTGTAAGATCAGGAATCTCACCAAGACTTTAGAATAGAAGAGAACAATTTGGTTGTTTCTTTTTAGCCTATTTCAGAGTAAACTTTTTCAATGAAAAAAAGAAGGAAAGAAATTCTAATACTTGTGATCTTTTTGAACAGAATATTTGACCATTGATATTACTTTAGATACAGTCTTAGGTAGCAAGAGGAGAAATGTTTAGAGTTGAGTTTTATTAAGGTCTTCAGGGCGTACCATAAAAACAAATTTGTATGTGTTTCAAGTACTAAGAGACAGTGTTTGGATTCTCTGTATTGTATTCAGTCCTATATTTGAGCCATGATTTAAAAAAAGAAATACGAAGTAGGCTTTCTTTGATAAATATGATTCTATAAGTTTCTCCCAAAGGAAAATGTGTTTCCAATGTAAGGAAAGTTCTTCCTTTTAATCCAGTAAATAGGTGTTTCCTTTTTTTCCCCCCTAATAAGACTAAAGAAAGATTTTGTATATTTAGGCTATTCCACTCATTCTTTCTATTAGGGATGAAATAGCAGATGACCAGATTCCCAACTGAGTAAATAAATGTCTTTCATGGAAGGCCTTGCCTTATAAATTGGAACAAGGACATTAGCCTGGTGGAAAATTAAAAATCAAGAATATTCTTTTCAATAATGCCTGTTACCCTAAGTAGTGGTGAAGATTAGTTTTTCCTATATAGCACATCTAACCTTTATATTGTTAGGAGATCTAGTAATAGAGCTTAATCACAAGCACTCAAACCCATATTTTTGATATTAGAGTCATGGATAAGATGGCATCAAAAATGCTGAGGGAGTGATTGATTGCCCTCATAAATCATTAAAAACCCCAGTGCTTCAAAAGAGCCTCAAAAGCTGCTGTTGATAAAGAATTAGGTACTTTCCAGGTAGGTTGTAAACCCTCTATCTATCTGTGTTTGCTTCCTTCAGCCAGTAATATCTTCCCTCCATCCTAGTTCCCTTTTTTTGTTTTGTTTCTTTGTGATTTCCCCTGTGATTTCCAAATTAGGGAGTGACTGTATTTCACCACAACTGAATTTAAAATGATTCTCTATACAATTCGAAAGGCATTTTATAACAGGATTTTGGTGTGCCATATTTCAGCATTGTGTTGTTTCTTAGTTTGAACAGCCAAAATTGAAATGTCAAAATGAGTTTATATTTCAAGCTCTAACGAAAATATTAACCCCAAGAGAAATAAACAAACTATTAAATAGAACTAGAACTGAGTGCTGTGGGAAATAAGTTTTAGAGAAATAAGAGATATGGCTTAATATTTACAAAAAAATCTCCCCCACCCCCACCCCCAGACATGCCACTTGATACAGAACACTCACATATTTTTTGACACAATGGTGCAATGTATGGAAATTTGTTAATAGCTTGCTTTTACTTTGGTCTTGCCACTGTAGTTCTAATTTTGTATGAGGATTCCTAAATAGGTTCTAAGTCTAGTAGCCCTAAAAGGTTAATAACTGAAGCCACAGTCTGATTATTCGAACATTTGGTAAGTGTTTACTAAGGTCAGTTGCATTCTACTGCTTGTCTAGTCTTGTTCAAAGGGGAGCATAAAGTTATTTAAGTGAATAACTTTAATGCAGGTTTACTGTCTAGTGTGTTATAATTATAACAAACAGTTCTTTCTTGTTCTCAGGGGGACCAGTGTCTGCCCAGTGAGTCACTGCTATACCAAATAGAATTACATTTTGTTTTCAGCTGGAATCATGCCTTTAAGAATCAGATCACAACACTACAAGGCCAGGCAAAGAATCGAGCAAACCCGAATCGGAGTGAAGTTCAGGCAAACCTTTCTCTGTTCCTAGAGGCAGCTAGTGGCTTCTATACTCAGGTGAGTTCTGCACTGTATACCAATTTTCCTAAAATTAGTAGTGAATATTTTCTTTGTACACATCTTGTTCATATAAGCACTTGGGGTACCCACTGTATGGTCCATCCAGGAGTTGATCACCTATAATCTCAGATGAATCAAAATGTCTGAAATTACTTACCATAAGACCTTTAAAACAGTAAAGACTCTGCTGTTAAAAAGGTGATGGTTCAGCTTATAGGTTAGAGGTATTATTGTGTGAATTAAAAAAAGGGTAATGAGAGCAATGCCTTAGTGAAACAGCAGAAGTAGTGAGTTACAGGTGGTAGTAGAGCAAATGTAAATGTATGGGTGTAGTCATTGTGAAAGTAACAGCTATGTTTTGCCAGGTAAGACATAGTCAAAATTCGTGATATCAAGTGAGTTTTCATAGTATTATATATACAGTAGAATTTATCTGGAGCTTCAGTGCTATTAAACTACCTAAGAAATAGAGCAGCCTTTCCTCAGTTTGAATAGTAAGCTATTATTTATTGTCTTCAGAGACTTTCCTTGTCCTTAATTACCTCTTGATATGACTTCTGAATCAGGCGAGGTAAAAGAATAAATAAATCTTTTTGGACAGTGAATTTTATTTAAGCAGAATTCTTTAGAAAACATCATCTCATCCACTTGTAATAGCATTCATAATTTAATTAATAACATGTATAAATTCTCATCTTATAATGACACGACAAGGTTTTGCAGATCTTGCTCCGAAAGAAATTCAAGAACCTACTCTCTGTGCTGCTACTTGACCATTGCTACCTGTATTTTGGCTCCATTTTGGTTTTACTACTTTTTAGAATGAAGAGAAAGAAAAGACTGTTAAAAGATATCAAATAGCAATCATCTTACAGAGATTATTTGTTTTACTTAGACTAAAACATTCATCACAGTTCATCATTGAAAGAGCTCAAGTATGGCTCTTGTTCTCAAAATTCATTTTTAAATTGATGCCAACTTTTAGCAAAAGTTGATATTTCTGGAGAGGGGAATTGTGGTTTGCCGCTAACTAATCCTTATTAATTAATTAATAAATTCTTAAAGATTAATTCATTCTACAAGTAGCTATTAAAAGTCTACTCTTTGTAAGGCACAATACTAGACACTGAGAATTGGAGAGAAAAGAGACCATCTTTAACTTTCAAGGGAATATCCAGTCTAAATGAGGAGATGTATACATTAATAGATATAGTGTTTCTTTTGGCTTTCTGATTATAAAAACATGCATACTAATTTCAAAAGATTTGAAAATTATAAAAAGTCAAAAATTTTTCATTACCCTCTCATTCAGGATAAATTACCACTTTTAATATGTATGTTTCTAGTGTTTTTATACTTTCGTACGTGGTTGTACCTATTCATTCTTTTATCAGCTTTATAAACATAATGTAAGTTTTTCCTTGTATTATTAAACAGTTTGATAAGCATCTTTGTTTATAAAGCATTTTCTCTAATACTGGATTACTTCCTGAGGATAGGTTCTTCATTGGATGGTGAATTAAATCATTGGATGAGTGGAGCTTTAATACTATATTGATACACATAATTGTTTTCCCAAAAGGTTATCATTTATATTTTTGTATTTCCATCAGCAGTGTATGCAAGTGTCTGTCTTGACATCCACTCACCAGTGTTAAATATTTCAATAAAGGCAAATGAATGATTAATTGAATAATTTATACTTGATAGATGGAAAATAATTTTTCATTTAAAATTTAATGTAATCTAATTACTAGTGATGTTGAACTTTTTTATTACATATTTGTATTTTATATAAATCATTTATTCATTTACTTTTCCCTTTCATTGTTCAGACCCTAGTTTTTTCCATGGTGATTTGTCTGAGCTTTTTCTATATAAGGGGATATTAATTTTTCTTCCTTTTTTTTTTGACAAACATCTTTTTCTCCAATTTCTTCTGTTGTTCTTTCATTTTATTTAAAGTTTTTTGAAATACAGAAGTTATCAGATAGTTTTTGTTTTTACAGTACTGTTTTTTCTTTGTCCATTTGTCCATAGATTAGTGGATATTTAACAATAATACTTATATTTAAAAGAACAAATAGATATTATAATTCAAATATTAAAATTTGAAAACAATACCAATATCCTGCAATAGAGTAATGGTTAAATAAATTATAGCCTATCTGAAAAATGGAATTATGAAACTATTATAAATGGTATTTATGCAGATTTTTTTTTGAGGTTTAGTTGATGTACAATATTGTTTCAGGTGTACAACATATTAAGGTTATACTCTATTTATAGTTATTATAAATATTGGCTGTATTCCCTGTGCTGTATAATATATCCTTGTAGCTTATTTATTTTATACATAGTAGTTCGTACCTCTTCATCCCCTACCCCTGTCTTGCCCCTCTCCCTTTCCTCTCCTAGCTGGTAACCACTAGTTTGTTCTCTATATCTGTGAGTCTGTTTCTTTTTTTTTATATTCACTGCTTTGTTGTTTTTTTAGATTCCACATAGAAGTGATAACATGCAGCATTTGTCTTTCTCTGCCTGACTTATTTCATTTAACATAATATCCTCCAAGTCCATCCATGTTGCAAGTGGCAAAATTTTGTTCTTTTTTATAGCTGAGTAGTGTTTCATTGTGTATGTATGTATGTGGGGACACACACACAGCGCCACGCACCACGTCTTCTTTATCCATTCATCTGTTGATGGACAGTTAGGTTTCTTCCGTATCTTGGCAGTTGTATATAATGCTACTGTGAACATTGGGGTGCACGTATATTTTTGAACTAGTGTTTCCGTTTTTTTTGGATTTATGCCCAGGAGTGGAATTGCCGGGTCCTATGGTAGATCTGTTTTTATTTTTTTGAGACACCTCCGTACTGTTTTCCACAGTGGCTGCACCAATTTACATTTCTACCAACAGTGTATGGGGGCTCACTTTTCTCCACATCCTCACCAGCATTTGTTATTTGTGGTCTTTTTGATGATAGCCATTCTGACAGGTGTGAGGTGATACCTCATTGTAGTTCTAATTTGCATTTCTCTGATGATTAGCAACGTTGAGCCTCTTTTCATGTGGAAAAGAGGCTGTATGTCTTCTGTATGTCTTCTTTGGAAAAATGTCTATTCAGGTCTTCTGCCCATTTTTTAATCTGGTTGTTTTTTGATATTAAGTTGTATGAGCTGTTTACGTATTATTTTGGATATTAACCCCCTATCAGTCATATCACTTGCAAATATTTTCTCCCATTCAGTAGGTTGTCTTTTCGTTTTGTTGACTGTTTCCTTTGCTCTGTGAAAGGTTTTAAGTTTAATTAGGTCCTATTTATGAAGATTTTATTTTTAAGATGAGGAAATTTTGTTATTATTAAGTGAAAATCATGATGTAGAATTATGTGTACATTTGACTCTACATGTTAATTGAATAGCCTTAGCTCAGTGGGGTGTTGACAGAAATGGTATCCCAGCCCCCACCCCCACTTCACTACTTTCAACTATGCTTTGTTGAATTCCGGATTCCCGTCATAACATCTTGGACAGATTTCGTACCATTCTGATTGCTCTTAGGATTTTAAACTTAGTCCAGTTTTAAAACTCCAGTCTCATCTCCAGCTTAAATCGCTTCCTTCCCTCATGTAGTAGAAATTTAAACTGTGAACACAACTGAAGTAGGGAGGGAGGGGTAGTAGGGACTTGCTGCAGCTGGCCCTGGTGGAGGTAGAGGGAAAGCATCCACTTTCTGCAATACATTTTTATATTAGCCATTACACAGACTTGTTTGTTATCTTGAAAAATGATTCTTAACCTTTTTTTTATGATGTGATATACATGTAACACAATTCCAAGGGTTTGATTGGACATTGATAAATCCAGACAAATAAAGCAAGAATCATCATTTTTGTTGAGGGGGCATGTTATTTGCAAAAACACTTTATAAGCAAGTCAATAATAAAATCATTCAAATGTCTCAAAATATTGTTTTATAAAGAAAAATATACAAGAATCTAATTTTGAAATTTATTTTTTAAAATTTTTATAATCAAGCATTGATCTTTCCCTGCTGCATTCCATAGGCAATGGTTGAGTGATCACAACAGTTGTAGAATGATCAGCAATAAACTTCTTTTCAGATCTCAACATTAATAGGACTCGTTGCTTGCATTTTTTGTTGTTGTTGTTATTTTGGCTTGATAATTGAAACAGTTAATGATGTTGTGAACAGTAATGTTCATACATCTTTTTTGATGACATGCAGTGCAGATTAAGCTGCCAGACTGGGGAAGTACACCAAGTCCAAATCATTGTACAGCCTTATAGACTAAGATGAGTTTTGAATTTTAATCTTAAGTGTAGTTGCAAGCCATTGGAAAGTAGGCAAGGGAATACCATGATAAGATTTGCATTTTTAAAAGATTACCTTGGATGTTGTGTGGAGAATGAATTAGCAGGTCAGGAATGGAAGGTAGTTAGCATGCTGCTGTAGTAATGGAAGGTTATTAAGGGATTTTTGAAGTATAGCCAGTAGAACTTCCTGATGGTTTGGATTGGATGTGTGGAATCAGGGTAAGGGAAGAGTCAAAGATGACTTGAGTTATCAGATTGAGCAGCTAGCTGACTGGTTATACCATTTACTGAGATAGGGAACACTGAGGAGAAGGCAGCTCTATCCATGTTACATTAGAGAGATGCCTGTTTGAGAGGAGGGGTCAAATAGGTAATTAGATAAGCTTGGAGCTCAGTGAAAAGGGCAGGGCCAGAGTAAAATTCATGATTACAATAAAGAACCTTGACTTAGACATTAGTGTTTGGCATTGAAACCCATGGGACTAGGTGGGAACAGGTTTGGCACAGGAGGAGCCACACTGCAATAGAAGAAAGTCAGAATGGTGCCTTGGAAGCCAGAGAGAAAAGCATTTCAACAAGAGGAAGGGGTGATCAATTCTGTTAAGTGCTACAGAGAAGTCAAGTAAGGTGATTTAAAAGTGATCAATTAGATTTGACAATATGGAAGTCATTGGTGAAATTAATGAATACCATATTTCCTCATTTCTAAAACTTTTTCATATTTTAACGCCTCTGAGATAGGGATAAGTTTACAAATGGTGGTCAGTCACCATTTAATTGGCATTGGGTTTTTTTCCCCTCAATGTTATGGAAATAATAGTTCATCTTATAAGTTATGGTATCTTGGATTTGATGAAATGTGACTGCAGTAGCGTTCTTGAGATAGAAATCTGAGTGGAGTGGATTGACAAGAGACTGATACGTGGTTATCCTGTGACGATGATTTTGACTTAGATATTTTGTTAACTATTTAAAGCATGGTTCGGGGGGGATGAATTGGGAGATTGGGATTGATATATATACACTACTATGTATAAAATAGATAACTAATGAACACCTACTATATAGCACAGGGAACTCTACTCAGTGATCTGTGGTGACTTAAATGGAAAGGAAATCTAAGAAAGAGTGGGTATATGTGTACATATAACTGATACACTTTGCTGTATAGCAGAAACTATCACAACATTGTAAAGCAGCTATACTCCAATAAAAATTACATAAATAAATAAAAGCATGATGCCTCGAGTCAGAACCAAACTCCCAATCGAAGTAAAGATGTAACATCATGCAGTATGGGTTTTTTTTAAAAACATCAAAGAACAGAACAGTAGAGTAGTCCTTGTTCTAAGAAAATGGGAGCCCAAAAGAAAGCATTATCATTAAGTTTCTATAGTAAGTTAAAAGATGGTATTCTGTATCTTCATAGTTAGTTCTCAGTTCTTAGTGTAGAGTGAAGAGCTAATAGTATAAAAGAGTTTTCACCGAATAATTGCCAAATATAGTTTTGTTCAACTTATTAAACATGTGTTTCTCTTCTTTAGTTCCACTTCGTTTCTGCCTCTAAACTAGTGTTCTGTCACCTGGAATCCTGAACCAGCAGGAACTTTTCTGGTGTCTCTACCTACAACTCCTGGGTTCTGGCAAAAATTTTATTATAAGACATTCACATGAAGTTTCAACCATGCTTGATTTACTTTTCATGAACTTTCTTTTTTCTTTTTGATAGATATTCAACCTTGCCTAATTTTCCAGTCTGTTAAGTACCTGTTGAACTCAGTTCTTTATGCTGTGTTATGTTTCTTCTTGCCATCTTCCACAATCATCAGTTTTTGGGTTTCTTCCATTTTTTGTTCCTTTCTTGTACTTCTTGCTTTTTTATATTTCCAGACTCTAGCCATTCTGGGCACTAATTTTGTTTACTCAGTTTTATGTCAGCAAATTTCTTGCCCATTAGAAATGTACAGGTATAAGTAAAGATGTAGATAGTTGCTATGCTTCATGAGAAGGGAATACAGGATTTTATATTTGGTTATGGAGGTGGTTTTTACATTAGGAAAACGGTGGGACATTTTATATCCTTCTGAGTTGGGTGCTCAAGGTGTTTTATTTTGTATTGTGAATTCTGCACATATTAGAGTGGTTGATAGAATCAAGATATTTCTAATTCTGTAACCTTAGTCAAATGACTCGATATTTTTGTTTTCATATCCCCGTCTGAAAAAGTGGAGCTTCATATCTACATACTGTATTGCTACCAGTTTATCACAAGGAGAAAGTGAGACAAATGTATCAGATAACCCAGGGAATGAAGTTTATTATAAATGAAGAATATTCCGTTGGCTTATGCGGTCATGTTTGGCATCTTTCCCCCCCTTCCTCCTCTCTCCTGCTGTCGCCTCCCTACTTGATATACCTGTCTTGCTCATTTAGCTGTGAACTCTTTAAGGACACAAATTTTATTTTACTCATCTCCGTGTCTCTGTTGCTTACCATGGTGTGTGATACAGTAACCAAATATGTGAATGATTATATTTGTAAGTAAATACTTGAATGAATGAGAATAGAATGTGAAGAGCTGTGTGGGGGCCAAGAAGGAAACCCTTGCGGGGATTAAGGTGGGAGAAGAAAAGCCTTTGAATGAAGGACACTGAAAATAAATGATTGGCAAGATAAAAAGAACTAGAAAAGCTCCGTGATCAACCATAACGTCAACTGTTTTAAATGTAGCAGAGAGATCCAGTAAGATGATGACTAGAAAATGTCCATTGTATTTGCTTATTTATAACCAGTTGTCATACAGACAACAGTTTCAGTAGAGTGGTTGTGGATGTTGGAATGAGGAGAGAAGAAGGGGTTGTGTGGAAGTCAGATCATAATGGACTAAGGAGTGAACAGAAATTGAGAAAGTAGATATGACACGTGGAGTCTTTTGAAGGAATTTGGTTCAGAAGAAGAAGAGACATTAGAAGGCTGCTAAAGGAGAAATCTAGAGTCAAGGGAAAGTGCTTTCGTTCTGTGTGTTGTGGGTTTTTTTATAATAATACTTATTGTTTATTTTTCGTGGGCAACACTTTATAGGCCACAGCAAAGAAGCTTGAGAAGTTGAAAGTAGATTTAAAAAATGAGAGGATGACAGGCAGGAGGCAGACAAGAATGAAATAGCATGCTCAGGCAGAGAAATTATCTCTGACTGGGAAGAGGAACCCTTTTATACCATAAGACTAGAGAAGAAAGGAAGAAAGAGTGGGTGCTCTACATAATATCGGAAGTTCCTTCCAGATCTGAAGTACCATGAGATCTTTTGTGTATGCAAAGGCACAAGTTGACCTTGGGCTTAACAAAATAAGTCTCAAGAAACTCCTGAAGTCTGCCAAATATGTTGGTTTGTATTTAAGTCAAATTTGTAACCAACCACCAGTGTTTAATGGGTTTTGTTTGTTTCTAAGAGGAAAAGAAGATAGATAGATAGATAATTTCATGGAGTTGCTTGCTGAATGAGTCTGAATACCCTCCTTAAGTGGTCCTTTTTTTAATGCTGCTTTTCCTTTTAGATGTACATCTTGGATTGCTCTAATACTTGAGAACTCAAAAGATGTGATTTGTAATGAATGTTACTAGTTATCCTATGAAAGGTTATCCTATCTCAGGTGTCAGTAGTATGTGATATTAGTTACACATGCAAACTTTACTGTTAGAGCACTTCTGACTTACCAGTTCTGACTCAATACTAAATCTTGCTTATGTTCTCCTTTTAGTTATTACAAGAACTGTGTACAGTGTTTAATGTAGATTTACCATGCCGTGTGAAGTCTTCCCAATTGGGAATTATCAGCAATAAACAGACGCATACCAGCGCCATAGTGAAGCCACAGTCTAGCTCCTGTTCCTATATCTGCCAGCACTGCCTCGTCCACCTTGGAGACATTGGTGAGCCATTGGTGTGAAGGAATTGATAATGCATTCATGCTTTTCTTTGGAGTAGTCACAGAAAGAAATTATTTTCCTTTAAAAATACACACACAACTTAAATTGTCATAAGAGGAAACTATAAAATGTATTTTAAGGAACCTAGATTTTCGGAATGCTTTGGGATTGGCAAAGGATCTTGAAGGAAGTAACTTCCATATTCAGATTTAAATTTTATTCAGACTTTATGCAGATGTAGGCAAATAATATACCAGCAAAAATGTAACCAAAGCTAAATTTTTCAGAGTGGTACCATAATATTTTCTAAAGTCTGTACTCCTTTGGAATTGTGGGGTTTATAAAAATTAGTCATTCTGAAGCTTAGATTGCCTTTCTTTTCTTCCTACCAGTGCATTAAAAGCTCATTTTTAATTGTTTCCTCTTTACAGTTAGATTTGTATTTCCATTTTATATATTTTATCTGGGAATGTTATATAACTTATTTATTCTTGTTCATTCCTTTAAGGTGACCTAAAAGGGTTGTAAAACAAATTAACTATAGGATTATGTTTTGGCTGTCCTCAGATAACAAGGAATGGAGAGCATTACTGCTTTAAGTTCAAAGATTTTAGATTTCTTGATGTCATAAATCACTGACTTCATGAGAGGTCACATGAAAGTAAGCACTAAAATTTCTATAGGGAGATTCAGTGAGTAGTATATTTAGATCGGTTTTGCTTTCAATGTATTCTTTGCACACACATAAATAATATTGCAATAGGTATGAGGTATTTTTCTTTTTCAAGAAGATTTATTTATTTATTTTTGGCTGCATTGGGTCTTCGTTGCTGCACGCAGGCTTTCTCTAGTTGTGGCGAGCGGGGGCTACTCTTTGTTGTGGTGCACGGGCTTCTCATTGTGGTGGCTTCTCGTTGCAGAGCTCGGGCTCTAGGCGCGTGGGCTTCAGTAGTTGTGGCACACGGTCTCAGTAGTTGTGGCTCGCAGGCTCTAGAGCGCAGGCTCAGTAGTTGTGGTGCACAGGCTTAGTTGCTCCGCGGCATGTGGGATCTTCCTAGACCAGGGGTCGAACCCGTGTCCCCTGCATTGGCAGGTGGACTCTTAACCACTGCGCCACTAGGGAAGTCCGGTATGAAGCATTTTTCAAAATCACTTTATAAGATATTGAAGAAATACATAAATTTCAGATCATATTGTATAGTGTTTTTTGTTTTGTTTTGTTTTTAAGTGCCATATAACTCACCCCTTCTTGTGGGCCGGCTCCAGGTCACCAGCATAGTCCATAGTGGGAGCTGGTGATGCATGACACTAGAGGACCTGAAAAAGGGGGCTAGGTAAGCTTTAAAATTGGTTACATGCTGAATGTCCCAAATAGGGAAGGCCGGATAGACACTTCACACATAATCCTATAGTTAATTTGTTTTAAAATATTTTCTTTCTTTAATCATCTTAATTTAATTTTAATGTGTTTATTAATTTTAAATTGTTAAACTATAGCTGTTTTGGAAATATTACCCTAATGCTTGTTTTATCTGTTTGTTTGTTTGTTTTTAAACTAAACTTTCTTTTTCCTCCTCTCAGCTCGGTACAGAAACCAGACCAGCCAGGCAGAGTCCTACTATAGGCATGCGGCTCAGCTTGTCCCCTCTAATGGTGAGTGGGCCATGTCAACTTGTGGTTGATTATGACACTTTACTCTAGATATAGAAAAATGGTAAATAGTTCAAGGCTCATCTTTCAAGTGCTAAGAAACCAAAAAAAATGTTGAGTTTTGGTATTGATTATTATATTTTTCCTTTTAACTGTACATTCTCTGTAACTGGAAATAAATTTTTTAAACTAATATTATGATTGTCAGTAAAGCAATATAAATAGAATATCTCCTAATGTGATCTAAAATTCTTTCAACAACTCTGGCTTCCTTAATTACTTATAGAATAATTTTCTTTTTTTTTTTTAAATATGTGCCTGATTTTTTTTTTTTTTTGCGGTACGCGGGCCTCTCACTGTTGGGGCCTCTCCCGTTGCGGAGCACAGGCTCCGGACGTGCAGGCTCAGCGGCCACGGCTCACGGGGCCCAGCTGCTCCGCAGCATGTGGGATCTTTCCAGACCAGGGCACAAACCCGCGTCCCCTGCATTGGCAGGCGGACTCTCAACCACTGCGCCACCAGGAAAGGCCCCTAATTTTCTTTTTAATACCATCATTTCCCTCCTAGAAAAATCCTCTCTTATTACTAAAAGATAATGCTTTTGTCCTTTGATGGCTCCCAAGATAGGCATTAGCAATGATTCTTGAATTAAATTACTGTAGATGTTTGGTGATCTACATTCTTGTTAAGCCACATTGAAAGTCCTTTAAATTCTAAAGGAGCCGCTTGAAGGCAGGGATGGCAGTTGGACAAATTATTTCATGTTGTCTGTGGCTGCTTTCCCACTACAATGGCAGAGTTGAGTAGTTGTGATAGAGACTCTTAGATCCACAAAGCCAAAAATATTTATTGTCTAGCCCTTTCTAAAGTCTTATTTGAACTTATTGTGCTCTTCATCCTAACTATGTGACTTTTCAACCTAAATACAATATGTACCATAGCTGAAGTGTGTTTTACATTATGCCATTTTTAATGAGGTAGTCATGAGATTTACTTCATAAAATACTCCCCATTGTTAATATAAAGATTTAAAAACTGACCTTCTATGTTCTGATAGCAAGACTTCATGCATTTTGGGTTGCTTTAGAATCTTAACTTTCTCCTCTAGGTCAGCCTTACAATCAGTTGGCTATCTTAGCTTCTTCCAAAGGAGACCATCTGACCACAATTTTCTACTACTGCAGAAGCATTGCTGTGAAGTTCCCTTTCCCAGCTGCCTCTACTAATCTACAAAAAGCACTTTCTAAAGCACTGGAAAGGTAGGGTTGACTTTTCCAAGAGGACTTTGTAACCTGGTAGCCTTCACCCCTCAAATTTGGGCATGTAAGAAATAATGGCCAGTTACCTATGCTTCTCTCCTTTTAGGTTTGCCTAATTTCTAAACATATACATTACAATAGTTTTGCATGTAGTCATCACTGAATTTCAACCAGTCAGCCTCTGATTTGTTCCCAGTGGAGGAGTACAGGCTGCTGAGTACTGACTCATCTGAGTGTGTTGCAGTTGAAAAGTCAGTCAGTTGCCGAATCCTCTCCTTGAGTCACAGGTGCTCAAATAATGTGTTTTTGCAAATCGAAGTCTCCTGTAAGAGGTTTTAGCCATTTTGTTGCTTAAGATTCATGGAAGTTTTTCTTTCGTTTCAGCCGGGATGAGGTGAAAACCAAATGGGGTGTTTCTGACTTCATCAAAGCCTTTATTAAGTTCCATGGTCATGTGTACCTGAGTAAGAGCTTGGAAAAGTTGAGCCCTCTTCGAGAGAAATTGGAAGAACAGTTTAAGGTTAGATTTTTTTAAATAGAGAATTTTTTGTCTTGTCTAAATGAGGAAGCGTAAGATTTGGAGGAGGCTTACTCCCACTTTTTATGTCATTACTTAATTGCAAACTGTTGATAAAAACTAAATTTAAAGCATGTGAAATTCTTGCATACAGCATTCCTTCAGTTTAAACTGAGGTGCTGTCTATATAAAGAAATACAGCAGCAGTGTTTTCACTAAGTAGCTGAAAATATCATTTGGCAGAAAATATCATAGTGGGAAAAAACAGTTTTTCCTCCTTCCTTCTCAGACCAGGCACCTTTCTTTTCTCAGTTTTGGAAGTCCTACATTTGATGGTTTCTGTATTTAGATATGATTCTGTTACCTACTTCATAGATAGTAATCCCATTCTGCAAACCGAGCGCGTTGTTCTCATTGTGCTTTGATCTGTCAGAGTTTGTGGTTGATTGAAGGAATGTAATGAGAGTTTCATTCAGCAAGAATACGTTGTACTAATTTGTATAAGGAGATAAAATTAAGTAACCTTTGTTCTATTTATATATATGAAAATAATTTTTTACTAGTATATTAAATTGGCAGTTTAAATGTAGTATAATTTACATAATATTGGAGGAGTCAAAATTAAGTATTAGTATTAATTTTATTTTTAGTTCATTTATTCAACAAATATTTGACTAGTATGTATCAGTCACTGTTTTAGTCACTAGAATCAACAGTAAACAAGACAGTCTCAAAGAACATTTTATATTTCTTGGTTACTTCTGAGTATCTATACACTTGGGGAATTGTCTGTAACTACTTTACAGTTTTATAAGTATTATAAAAGTTTCACATTCCAGAGATTGTTGAACTTAGACAGTTGAGATAATAAATTAGCCAAATATAGTCAGTGTGAAATAGTTTTTACAGATAGTCATTTTTAGCTGATACTTTTTAGTGTAAGAGATCATACTAAATAACTATAATAGACATAGTTTGTTTTAAAATAAGCTTCTAGAGTCCCCTTCTGTTCTTTGCTTCTCTTAGTGACCTATTTAAATTTAGCCCATGATTTATAGAGTTGGGTACATGAAAGAAACAACCAACTTTTTAAAGCCCTAGGCTGTTCAGCCTAGAAAGAACAAACAAGGCTAAATAGTTTCATTATAAGTTTTCAGTTCTATGAAGGATTATTTTAAAATAACACAGCTTTGTCTTCCTGAGGTCAGAAATAAAATCTTAAAATTTAAATAGACTGTAGGGGGTTACTGAGGGGGTCTCTCTTTTGAGAGATTAAGAGTCGGATTGACAGCCATCTTTCTTGGATGGTTTAGATGCAGTCCCATTAACTAGCAGGGAGTTGGACCAGATGACGTTTTGATCTTGCTTCCAGCTCTTGTTCTGTGAAAGATATACTCCCTAAATGGGGAGGAAGGGGGGACCTACCTTAGTGAGATCTTCTCTATGTAAGTTATTCTTGTATAGAATCTAGTCAATTTTGTATTTGGTTCAACCTCAAATACTAATACTCTCTTCAGATATATTTCTGAATGTGAAGTTCTGGTGGGTGTATGTGGGCAGTTGCTAAAATACTCTTTGAAATATCATTCCAACACTCTGAAGTTAAACATAGTATGAGGCAGATCTATTTTAAACCTCACCCAGTACTGAAATGTCAGAAGAAAGTTGTTGGAGTGAAATTTTAGCATAGTTGAGTAAGTATTTCTAAAGCCTTTATAGATAATTAGTATTATCCACATGTAAACATCAGTGTATCTGTCTAACTAGCAAGTCTTTAGCTACTAAGCAGAAACGTGTACCAACTTGAGATTCGTTGAAGGACTTAAGGCCTGGGATTTAGGAATTGAGATACAAGGCTTTTTCTGTCTGTTAAATGTGTGCTGTTTCTTAATGGTATTTAGTTCAGTATATTCCTCAACTGCTGTTGAAAGTGTCTTTGAGGAACAATAAGTCAGTTCCGGTTTGATTTTGTTCCCAGGGAACTCCTCGTTTACTAAAATACAATCCAAATGTTAATGAAATTACAACTGAATAATTACATATTTACTTCTAAAGGTCTGGGTTATTCCTTCACTAAGTGTTTGAGTACCTAATGTCTACTGTGTACTTTTCTGAAGCTCTTAGAGATATACAGGGGAGAACAAGACAAAGTCTGTGTGTTCATGAACTTACATTATCATTTGCTAGTACTAGGCTGCACTCATATGCTTTAATGTTTCTGTGCATACACTAGAAAAATTTTTTTAAAGGGCTAGGATTTGTTTGATAGGACATCACCTTCTAAAATAAATGCCAGTGGATTTATAGATACAAGGGATACATTGCTATAAACTATACTTACAGGAAAAAATGCTTTTTGAAAAATACAAATTAATATTCTCATGCCAATATTATGCATTTCTGTAAACGATCAGCTTGATCTATAAGGTTGGATGTAGACATTGAAGGAGAAGTTTTGTGGGAGAACTCTGGAGAAGAGAGAGCATTTCAGGACATTCGGAGTAGAGGAGAGGAAAGAAAAATGGTCAATATCTTTAGAAAAGGAGTGAGCATTCTTGATGTATATACTGGAAAGGCAGATGACGAGGAAACAGAGAGATGATAGGGAGAACAGAGTTAGAGAAAAGTAGAATTTTATTGTTTTCCAATGATAACGTGAAAGGTCTTATTAGTAGAATTATAGAACTTATTCTGGATATTTCAGATTCTTTAACTATGTAAAAAAAAAAAATCTCAGAATAAGCTAAGCAAAGGCAGCTGTAAATTTCTGAGATGGTAGGATCTCTTGTCACTGCTGGTAGAACTGTAAGTAGTTTTCTATTTCCCACCATAAGGCTAGTGACAGTGAATCGCCCACTTTCTCCAAAAATTTTCCCTGGGGAGGGAGAGTACTTGGCTATGCTAAAGTGTAGGGCAAAGCCAGGTATTATCTCTAATAGCTATCAACTTTGTTAGGAACTTGTGTTTGAAAAATATTTTATATGGGAGTAATCTAAATTTCTGTAGATATTAAGGTAGAAGGGTGATGAAGTTAAGGCTAACTGAGAGCATGTAGGTGAATTTTTCCATATAGTGCTTATTAGCAGGTCACTGTGAACACCTAGTTATTAAGTAAAAGAAATTTGATTATGAAGAACATGCTTTTCTAATAGGGGAAATAGGGGAAAATGTAAGTGTAATAATTTGTTGAAGCACCTATAACACTTGTTAATGATTGCTTTAGTTTACCATTTACCCTGTGTTCCAGATATGTTCTTGCTGTCTCTCTCATTTATAAATAAGTTTCTTTTGGGACTTCCCTGGTGGTCCAGTGGTTAAGAATCCGCCTTCCAATGCAGGGGACGTGGGTTCAACCCCTGGTTGGGGAACTAAGATCCCACATGCCTCAGGGCAGCTAAGCGCACGTGCTGCAACTACTGAGTCTGTACATTGTGGAGCCTGCGCACCACAACTAGAGAGAAGCCTGCACGCTGTGACAAAAGATCCCGCATGCTGCAACTAAGACCTGACAGGGCCAAAAATTAAATAAATAAAAACATATTAAAAATAAATAAGTTTCTTTAAATGTGTCAAGCCTTTGAAAGAGTAAATCTTATGACAAATTTTTTAAGTCACCTATTATGTGCCAAGAGTTCAAAACATATTTTTTGAGTCTTTTTATTTGAAATTTTGATTTTCACTCTGTGCACCTACTTTCTAGTCATTGGTCCCAGTTTAATATTTTAGTATGTTTGCATCTCTTATAAAACAGCTTCTAATGGATTAAGATGTATAAATTTATTGATAGTCCCCTAAAATGTTTGTCTCAGATCATATTACAAAAATATACAGGGACTTGCCTGGTGGCGCAGTGGTTAAGAGTCCACCTGCCAATACGGGGGACACAGGTTTGAGCCCTGGTCTGGGAAGATCCCACATGCTGTGGAGCAACTAAGCCCATGCGCCACAACTACTGAGCCCATGTGACACAACTACTGAAGCCCTCACGCCTAGAGCCCGTGCTCTGCAACAAGAGAAGCCACCACAATGGGAAGCCCATGCACTACAATGAAGAGTAGCCCCCACTCACCGCAACTAGAGAAAGTCCATGCGCAGCAATGAAGACCCAATACAGCCATAAATAAATAAATAAATGTATTTTTTAAAATTATAAAATATATATGTATAGTTTCTCATGGAAAAAAGTATTGTTTAAAAAAAAAAAACAGCTCAAACAGCTCTGTGGTGTCTGGGTTTAATCCTTTCAAGGCAAAAAGTCAACATGAGAAACATCAGACCATGTCAGACTCAATTAAAATACTCATCTATAAATGTTACCTTTGTGGCTTTAAATGCAGACTGCCAGTTTAATTCTTGTGTCAAAGATGGCTTCTGTTCTTGATAATATATTCAGTATTCCTGTCTTCTTTTACAGAGGCTGCTATTCCAAAAAGCTTTCAACTCTCAGCAGTTAGTTCACGTCACTGTCATTAACCTGTTTCAACTTCATCACCTTCGTGACTTTAGCAATGAAACGGAACAGCATAGTTATAGCCAAGATGAGCAGCTGTGTTGGACACAGTTGCTGGCCCTCTTTAGTGAGTATTAAATCATTTAACTTTCTGTGCCATCTTCTTTGGAAAGCATGATCTTAGGCATTTTTATCATTATAACAAAGCATTAGTAACATTAAAAAGTGTCCTACATTTCTTAATATCGAATCAGGAGGCCTAAACCCTAAGTTCTGTCCTTTTATCTGCTGACACCCCCTCATCAACTGTATCTATAACATTTTTAACATAGGAAAGAAAATGGCTTTTTAGAAAGAAGCTGTAAGATATTTTAAGTATTAAGTAGGATACAGCAGGAGGCTCATAATAATATTTTAATTTGGACTGGTACACAATTTCAAATATCTTATGCTCTCTGAACACATTTTTTCTTTCAGTGTCTTTTCTTGGCATCCTGTGCAAGTGTCCTCTCCAGAACAAGTCTCAGGAGGAATCCTACAATGCCTATCCCCTACCTGCAGTCAAGGTCTCCATGGACTGGCTGAGACTCAGACCCAGGGTCTTTCAGGAGGCAGTGGTGGATGAAAGACAGTAGTAAGTGTCTCAGAGTTTCATGTTAGCTTGTGTGCTTTGTTTGTTTGATATTCAGATATGTAGAAACTGCCTTCTAAAACAGTATTGGAATAATGGAAGACTTTGTATTTTCCACCTACTCTCTAGAAATTGAACTGAAGACTTCTTTGTATGCTTTTTATTTATTTGTTTGAATTCTTCATGTGAGGCACAATCTTAAGGATTTCTGACTCCCTGTGTGCTCCCCCTGTCCCTGGTTGCCATCCTGGGGAAAAGGCATTTTTCACATTTCAAAATGAAATAGAAATAAAACCAGTTTGTTTCTTATTCATTATAATATGCCCCACTTTTATGCTTAGGAGTTGAAGGGAAGAGATTTTTACTTCTTCCATTCTTTTCTGTACATGAGCTGTTTGTTGCCTTTTAGTAACACCCGATTTGAGTTATATTTGTTTTAAGCATAGAAGATTGGAAGTTATTTTGGCTCTCACTATTTTCTCTGTAATTTCTACTCAGAATAATTCTGACAGTTCTTAGGAACTATTCATTTTACAGTGACAAATGAAAGCTTTCAGTGTACCTTTGATTATAGGAATAAATATTTCCAGTAAGGCTTTGCAGTGAGTGGGAAGTTCCTCCCCTGCATATATTTTTTTTCCCCTGCATATTTTGATGGTGGATATTAGGAGAGTCTCTGAAATATCTGCTTTGTGGCCCAGTATCTACACATTGACCAAGGTCACAACCTAGAAAATGTCCAAGCCACGTTTAAGACCCTGTGATCCCTCTTACTGCATACTTCTCTTTCCTCTTTTCCCCTCAAACCTAACTTTAAGCACCTTCATTTTTGACATTGTCATGAATAGAGTTTAGCAACATAGTACAGCATATTACACATCTCCTTTCTGTGCCAATGTACGTATTAGTAAGTCATACGTATTTTTAGGCATTGCTTTCTTGCACCGGGTTTTCATTTCTCTACCAGAGGTATACATTTTTCCTTCCCGTGTGTACTTTAGAACTTGTGTTTGGTTCAGTAACTTATATCAGTAATGCTGTGAAAGAAGCTTTGATATTTTTATTCAGTTTTTTGTTCCTATACAGTGATCTTTTAGGCCCATTCTCTGCCTTCCCATTTCTTTCTTTTTTTTTTTCCCTTTCTCTTTTTAATTTTATTTTGGCCATGCCACACAGCTTACAGGATCTCAGTTCCCTGACCAGGGACTGAACCCGGGCCATGCGCCGGGTCCTAACCACTAGACCACCAGGGAACTCCCGGTGCATTCCCATTTCTTATCGTTGCAAAGGCTATTCAGCCAGAAGGAATAGTTTGTTTACAAACATTTTTCCTTTTTCTTCCCCGTCATTTTCTCTTCCCCATTCCTTCTCTTAGATTTGTTGGGATCTTTAGAATTATGGCCTTGCAGGTATTTCATCCTGTCTTAAATTATGTTACTACTCATTTTAGGCTAGTGTGGGGTATTTCTCTAAAACTGAAGATTTTCCTTATATGTCTGATATATCAAGGTGTAATAATCCTCATTTATATCTTTTAAATGATGAAAAAAACAATTCCTCTTTGTGAACTCAAAGTTTTATATATATTCAAATAACCTTCAGTTTCTTGCTTTTGGGCCTTTACAATTTCTAGAACTTGTTTTCCTCTATACTTTTTTTGAGAGCATGTTATCTTAAGCTAACAAATGCATGAAAGAGTGATGTATTTTTTTCCTTTGTAGAAAGCAAAGTTAGACTTAAGTAACCCACAGTGGGGTAAAGCGATATATCATTAAATCATTTCTCACACTCTTTTTCTGTAGTCTGTTTCTTGAGATCTCATATTTGTTGCATAAAGACATTGTTGTTCTAGTCTAACATTCTTTTTTGGGTTATTAACCTCCTTTTTCAACTGTCTCGTAATTCGTTATGTCCCCAAAGACTTGTAGCAGACATTTATTCTTCAGTGTTTATTTCCTTATATATTTTTTCTATATTATTCATTTATATTTTTTTAAGCAGCATATTCCCATATTTCAAAGTGTAAAACTGTCAGAAATAGTTGTCAGCTTCCAGGTTTTTTCTGTGATGTGGTGATGTACATCCAATTTCTCTATCCTGGGCAACTCACCTTGGGCTTTCTTTTTTTAAAACACACTTTTCGCCAACATTGGTTGTTAAATATTTCAAGAAAACCTTAATGTTACCTTCAGTAGATCGTGATTATTTTTAATATTTTAACTAAATATTAAGAATATTTTTTAATATTTTGCAAACTTTGGCAAAAATTTTGTATTAGGAAACAGAAGTAAGGATATTACAGCAATGTGTGGATTTTGTTGTATCATAAAAAGGCATAGTCATCACTTTGAACAGAGAATGTGATTTGACTATGATGTAACCACACCCCCATCACAGATTAAAAACTAGTAATGGGTTCCACAACTGATAATGTATGTGAAAACTATAAAAACATAATGTGCTATTTCTCTGGTCAAAGTTTTCTCAGTAAATATCAATGTTTAAAACTGACAAATTAACTTTGCTAATTCTTAAATTAGGAGCCTGGGAAACGATCTGCAGTAGTAGGTCTCTATCATGGAAATTTGGCCCTTTTGGTGTATCTTATCTAGACACATTTGGAAATATGTTTTAGGAAATCATACAGCCTTTAAAATGCTGAAGCAAAGGAAAAATACATAGTCACGGTCCTATAGGTAACACTTTCATGGCTTATTAGTGTTCTGGTTTTTCATGCAAAAATAAAGTCTGAACTATCTGTTTAATTTACAGCATTTGGCCTTGGCTAATTTCTCTTCTGAATAGTTTCCATCCCCATGAAGAGGATCTTTCAAGTACTAATGGTAAGGGCTACCTTAACCTGTGTCGCTGACATTGTTCTCCATCACTAATAGTGGGCTTAACGCCAGAGAAAAACAGGGTTTTGTTCTTAAGTGTTTGACTTTAAATGTAGTAATTCAGAAGTGACTTTGAGCTCTATATTGATTAAGTGGGTGGAAATAGAGGTAATGTTCTTCCAGTTCTCTCAGCAGCTTATTCTCCTGTTTAGCTACATTTGCATAGGAGTCCAGAGAGTGTAGTAGTACCTCCAGATTCTTTCCATCTTCCTTTCCTCCTCACTCTTAGCAGTTTTGTTTAAGGAACTAATGTGAACAACATTATTCTTTCAAAGTAATACTTGCTTATCATAGAACATTTGGGACATACAAACATAACGCAAGTCACCCTTAATTCTCTCATACAGAGATACTTTCTGTACTATTCACATGATAGTGTATTTTCTTTGAGGTTTTTACTTACGTGTACATACACACAACCTGCGTGTGACTGATACCAGATACAACTTTGTACCTGCTTTATAATTTAACACTACATTGTTAGCCTTTTCCTTTGTCATTTAAACATTTTGGAACATGATTTTTACAGGCTGCTTAATATTCCGTCCTGTGGCTCTGATAATTTATTTTATCATTGTCCATTTGCTTAAAAAATTTCCCCATTATAAATAATCCTGCACTGAACAATCCGTAGTTGACTCCTTTCTGATTATTTTTCTTCCATTACATCAGTGCCCCTCAAGCATCATATTTGCAAATGAATCACCTGGGATCTTGTTAAAATGCAGTTTATGACTCAGTAGGTTTAGGATAATGCCCAAGATTCTGTATTTCTTACAAGCTCCCAAGTGTTGTCAATGTTGGTATTCAATACTTTGAGTTAACAAGGAGATAACCTAAACATTGTGATTAATGGATCCGAGGCTTTGAATCTTTAAGGCTGCTAGGGGGAAAAAAAGTACATTGTACCCGTCCTCCTCAGCAATGAGTAGTAGGTGAGTATTAGGACAATGTCTAGGGCCCAAAGGCAACATGCAGGGGTTTGACAGGTAAGTTATTCTATCAAGATTACTATAAAGAAGAGCAGAGAACTATGAGCATTGTAGTTTCTTTCTGTCTAAAAAATACTCTTTTTTTTTTTTAATTTAAGAAGTAATGTCCTGCTGAATGACAATATTTTAATTAAGATATTTACAAATCTTGTTTTCTGCCCTTCTGTAGCTACACCACTTCCAGAGGAGTTTGAGTTACAAGGATTCTTGGCTTTGAGACCTTCTTTCAGGTAGATGGCTTTTATCACTGTTTACCTAGCGTATTAAAAAGCTTCCTAATCAACTTCCCTATATCGTCCATTCTACTCTGCTTCAGCAATTATATTTTTAAAGTACAGGCTTGATGATGTCCCATTACTAATACAAAAACTTCAATTTACCCATCCTCAGTTGTTATAATATCTTTTTTAGCTTCATGTCCAAATGCTTAGTTTTTCAGTCATATTTCCTGCCACTTTCACCTTCCTCCCCTCCAATACTTACACATATTATACATACACTATGTCCTGTACTTGAATAGCTCTGTATATTTATTCCTCCAAAACTTTGTTCATGCTATGCCTAGAACATTCCCACTTCCTCGTTTGCCCTTCCCTTACCAACCTGTTAGCACTTAACCATACCTGTCCAAGGTCCAGCTCAGGTATCACTTAACTCTGTGAAACCTTTTCAGAGCTTATCGGAAGAAACTAACCCTTCTTTATTATGCTTCTCTTATTCTTTGTTTAGCTTTTATTTCTTCAGATTAAATCATAATTATTTGTTCCTTAAGGTAGGGACTATTTCTCATTTATCTTTGTATCCTTAGTATCTGACCTACTGCCTAGCAATTCTTAGACGCTGCGTCTTTTTTTTTTTTTTTTAAAGATAGCTTAATGAGAAATCTGAAAAATCCTTATTTTTTAGGTTGACTTACCTTTCTAACGTCAGTTAGTTCTTTGCTCTATGTACTTTATGATATGTATACATTTTTTCTGATTTAGATTGGGCCACCTTAAAGTGGATAGATTACTACTATTTGTTAGAATAGGCATTTCAGAGACCCTTAGCATTGCCATGGTCATTTGAAGTAAGTTACTTATAATGCAAGGTTAGTGTTAATGAAAACTTTATTCTTAGGATAAAAGAATCTTTCCCAATAAAAGATGGTGATTTATTTGAGCTCCTCTGTGAGAAAGTGAAATATAAGTAAAAATATCACATTAATATAGTGAATTTTGCATATTGTCTTTTCTACTTTGCTTCATTGTATTTACAGTCTTTGGGAGCGTAAATAAATTCAAACAAATGCAGTTGCTTACGTTAAATAGCTAACCTGTATGGAAAAATCTGAAGCCATTGCAGTTCATTAGGTTTAATTTTCTATAATTTGCTTATATCAATTTTAGGAACTTGGATTTTTCCAAAGGCCACCAGGGTATTACAGGAGACAAAGAGGGTCAGCAAAGACAAATACGACAGCAGCGTTTGATCTCTATAGGCAAATGGATCGCAGATAATCAGCCAAGGTATTCCTCATCGGATACACACACAGCCCCCACATGAGTTTTAGACTTGGTGTAATGCTATTGATTGTAAACTCTTAAGTCAAAATGTTGGTAACACAGCATCAAGCTATGACCCTAGTGATCTTACGTATCTCTTTATTTAACCTCTGTTCTCTCATTACACTGCCTATTTTAGAGGAGTTTGCCTTGTCGCCACTGTTTATCATGAGCTTTTTCTCCAATTTATAAACATCTGTATAAATCTCACTAAATTGTATGTTCCCAGTTATGGTGATTTGTATTGACAGGGGCATGGTGGTCAGTCTCAGTCCAGACAGACCAGGATGGTGCTAGTTAAATATGAAGCAGGTATGGTAGTTGGTGTAATAGGCAGGGCATAGGTTTTAGAGTCAGATAGATTTGAGTTCAGTGTCTAGTTCTGCCACTTCCCCAGGTGTGTGTCCTTAGGATCACTGTGGTTGATTATAACCTATCCAAAGTCAATAACTGTTTCATATTCATTTTTGTATTCAGGTTCATATTATACTGTAAGCCACTCACATGGTTGCATATTTGAATAAACATAATACCTCTGAGCTTCAGTTTTCACACCTATAAAACAGGAATTATAGCTACTTCAAGGGCCTAGTCTAGTGTCTTGTGCTTAAAACATGCTGAGTAAATGTAGCTGTACTTATTAGAGAACATTAAACGTGTGGTGGTGATGTTCAGTGGGATAATGAGAATCTGAGTTTACATAACTGCTTTTTATGTTACCTGAATCCACACCGTTATACCCTGCTGTTTCCCACATTTTAAGGCTGTGGGACCCATACACAGTTCAGTTGTTATTGTCTTTTAGATTTGTGTTTTTATATATGGATTTATTTTTACTTTTTTAGGCTGATTCAGTGTGAAAATGAGGTAGGGAAATTGTTGTTTATCACAGAAATCCCAGAGTTAATACTGGAAGAGCCCAGTGAAGCCAAAGAGAACCTCATTCTGCAAGAAACAACCATCATAGAGTCACTGGCTGTGGATGGGAACCCAGGACTGAAATCAGTGCTGTCTACAGGCCGAAATCTAAGCAACAACTGTGACACAGGAGAGAAACCAGTGGTCACCTTCAAAGAGAACATTAAGCCACGAGAAGTGAACAGAGACCAAGGAAGAAGTTTTCCTCCCAAAGAGGTGAGAAGGGACTATAGCAAAGGAATAACTGTAACTAAGAATGATGGAAAGAAGGACAACAACAAGAGGAAAACAGAAACCAAGAAATGCACCTTAGAAAAGTTACAGGAAACAGGAAAGCAGAATGTGGCAGTGCAGGTAAGCTGTATTTGAACTATAAAGCAGGTAGAGGAAGGCTCACACAAAAGGCAAGATTTTTCATTTTGTTCCTAAAGCCTTGAGAATTGACTATTCTGGAAGCTTCAATGCATTCTTAGAAGGCTGCATACATAGTAAGGTCATGTAAAGAACTATGGTAGATGGGTACTCCACCAACTCTCAGGAATTGTAATGTGAGTGAAAAAAATCTCAACCTGATTTTTGTCAGTTCTCTCCAGTTTAAGTGGCTGGGAATAACCAGTTGCAGAGCTATCAATTTCACAAAGAATTACATTTTCTTTGGAAGGTATAATTGTGATTTATTAATGCTATAGTGGAAAATTTGGGGTCTTTTATAGATCCCATAGAACCAAGTATATTAAGGCTTACACGGTGGTTTTTTGTTTTTCAGATTCACTATACAAAATAAAATATATTCTTGGGGAAAGATGAGGCTATTTTCCTTGACATTTATACCGGCCCCAGCTAGTAGCATTATATAACCTCAGTGTTATCCTGGCTCATGGGAATTTGTAAAGCAAGAACCCAAGTCTCTTGCTGGGAAAGGATAAACACTGCTCAGTTATTTGTGACTTTTCTTTTAAATATACACGCACGCACACACACACACACCCCTTTCCGGGGAGATACAGATGATTTCAAATAAACAAAAGGGTCTTTACTCTGTGCTGGTTTTATTAACACCGCTAATGTTTGTAGCCATTTGATTATTAACACATTTTGGCAAATGTATTTATTTACAGTAGGCATGAGGAATCTTACAGTTTTGAAGTCTGCTTGCAAATAAACATCACCTGCAGTGCATTTCCCTTACAGTTTTTTGCAGGGAAAGGGAGAAATAAGAACATAGTAGTTCTGTTTTAAGGTTAATAATGGGGAAGAAACAGAGAAAAACATGGTAGAAATTGAGGAAAGGCACAGAGAAAGTGAGAGGTGTTGGGGAAAGGCAAGGAAGAAAACAAAAGAATTATAAGGCTGCAGGACCAGTGTTTTAGGGATAAAGAGTTCAGCATTTCCTGCCTGCTCTGGCTCTATCCTCTGAAACTGCCTCCCCAAAAGGTCCAGACAGAAAATAAAATCTCTTTTCTGGTCTCATCCTTTTTAAATCTGACTATTGATGATTAAAGAAAACCTGACAGTAGTCAATATATCACCGCCCTCTGTACCTCATCCTGAGTTTTCTATAAATGCTACCTATTTTTACTCACTTTACTCATCTTTACATTACTTGAGCAGTGCATATGGCATCTACTTCTCTCCAGCTCCATCTGTAGGATCTCAGGCCTGTTTCTTACTGCTGAAAGTATCCTTATTTATTCTGGGGGTGGTAGGGTTGCAGGGTGGAGGGTGGATGCCTGACTGATACCCTTAAAGCTGCCCAGATGAAGTTAAACTGAGGGCCAAAAGTGTCTCATCTGTGGATTAGTGGTCATTATTCATTCATAATTCATGTACATTAAGAGAATACAGGGCCATGGGGCCCATAACAGTGGCTTAAGGTTATAGGCAGCTTTTTAAACCTGTTGGCATCAGGTGTCTCGTTTGTAAAACAAATGAATTCTCAGGTCTTTTCTGTATTTCGTACTTTTATGATATTGTGAAAGCAAAATAATTAGACAAGTAAAACTAAGCCCTTATAACTTTTTTTGGCAATTAAATAATTTGACTTTCCCATTTTTAATTTAGGTGAAGTGAAATACCTGCAGCATATACTCTTTTTGGCGGGGGGAACATAGCAGGATTTTGAATACTTTCTGAGAGTAGGTGCTTCTTTCTGACATGTTTGAGTTTCAGATTATTATAGATAGTTTTGCTTCTGGTTGGTCATAGGTAAAATCCCAGACAGAATTAAGAAGGACTCCAGTGTCTGAAGCCAGGAAAACACCTGTAACTCAAGCTCCAAGTCAAGCAAGTAACTCCCAGTTCATCCCCATTCATCACCCTGGAGCCTTTCCTCCTCTTCCCAGCCGGCCAGGTAAAAATATATGTTTTGTAGTTTCTTCTGCTGAATTCCATCTGTGTAGGAGTTTCTGTTAACCCACTGAGAAATTTTAGACTCTGAGTGACATTACTAAACCATAATGTTAAAAGGTATAAGGAAGTTAGTTCTCTTTTCCCTAATGTTTATGAAATTGTTTTTTGAGCCATTTCTCTGTAGTTTATGTACAAGTGTATGCTTGTTATTATGAAGGAATTCCTGTCACTAACCATGGCATCTAAGAAACTGCCTTTAGGATTCTCCAGTTACCTCCGTGGATAGAAGTAGCAGCCAATAGTCTATATTTAATTCTTGAAATCAGGTTAAAGATTGACACTTGATCAGTCTTACTTGACGGTTGATCCCTGTCTTTTATAATTTATTAGAAGACCTCTTCTCCACCCCAGCCCAAAATGACTATACTATTTTTTGTCTTTCTTTTGCTAAGTTTCCTTAGAACTAAAGCTATGTTCTTCTGTTTTGAAGGGTTCCCGCCCCCAACCTATGTTATCCCCCCTCCTGTGGCATTTTCTATGGGCTCAGGTTACACCTTCCCAGCTGGTGTTTCTGTCCCGGGAACCTTTCTTCAGCCTACAGCTCACTCTCCAGCAGGAAACCAGGTGCAAGCTGGGAAACAGTCCCACATTCCTTACAGCCAGCAACGGCCCTCTGGACCAGGGCCGATGAACCAGGGACCTCAACAACCACAGCCACCTTCCCAGCAACCCCTTACATCTTTACCAGCTCAGCCAACAGCACAGTCTACAAGCCAGTTGCAGGTTCAGGCTCTAGCTCAGCAGCAACAATCCCCTACGAAAGCTGTGCCGGCTTTGGGGAAAAGCCCTCCTCACCACTCTGGATTCCAGCAGGTAATTCGCAGTTGTGTGTACTGTCCAGCTGAAGTAAGGAGAGGGGAAGGTTGAAGTTATTCTGTGTTTGGTTAATTAAAAATACTAGTTAGGCCTTCAGCTACTTCTTGCTTAGACTTGTAATGATTATGGGAACACGTAAGTCTTCTCTTTGCTGTTTAGGAAAGTTCAGGTGTTCTCCCTTTTACTTTTGTAAAGGACAATAGATCTTAACTACCATTCTTTGCTGCTACTACTTATGAGCTTTATAGAAAAGGATTTTCTGTAAATAATTTCCTCTATTTGAACCTAAACTACAGAAGGGAAATAGTATCGTAATCTTGATGAGGTGTTAATGATACCAGTCTTAAATAATTTGTCATCCCACAGCACTTGAAGCAGAAGGAGAAATGTGTGCGCGCCCACCCACACTCACACCCTCATTTATTAAACCTCTTAAATAATGGAACTGAAAGAGAACATGAGTTCAGTGCCCTTAATCTGTTCCCAGAAAGCTCTGTGTATTGAAAAACTTAGAGTAAACAAAACTGCATTGTCTAGAGTTTTGGTGGTGGTAAAATCTCTCAGATTCATTCTGTGATTCCCGAGTACTGAGTGTAAGTAACATTGCATTTTATCCTCATCTTGGTGACAGGCGTCTCTTTTTTAGTATCAACAGGCAGATGCCTCCAAACAGCTGTGGAATCCCCCTCAGGTTCAAGGCCCATTAGGGAAAATCATGCCTGTGAAACAGCCCTACTACCTTCAAACCCAAGACCCCATAAAACTGTTTGAGCCGTCATTGCAACCTCCTGTAATGCAGCAGCAGCCTCTAGAGAAAAAAATGAAGCCTTTTCCCATGGAGCCATATAACCACAATTCCTCAGAAGTCAAGATCCCAGAATTCTACTGGGATTCTTCCTACAGCATGGCTGATAGCAGAGCTGTAATGGCACAGCAAGCCAACATGGACCGCAGGGGCAAACGGTCACCGGGAGTCTTCCGTCCAGAGCAGGATCCTGTGCCCAGGATGCCATTTGAGGTGTGTGTCCTTTCCTGTCACCAGGGCACTTAAGAGTTAGGTCTGGGGATGCATGTCCTTTAAATTTCTCAAGTAGATGTTTATGAAGGTCACTCTGCTTCATTAGTGCTGCAGAATGCTGCTGAGTAAATGGGTGCAGCTTTTGGTCTCCTCTTTACAGTTGCACAGTATGCTTGATTTGGGGGAGCTGAAGAATTCTGTTCCTGATTTTGACCTGTGATGGTCTGGCAGAGAAATCATGTGCAGAAATCTCTAACACAGCATGTTAGAGAATTCTGAGACAAAGCTCCTCTCAGTTGGGCTGAATCATCTAAGTTTAAAAATAGGTTTATTGCATATTTAAACAAATTGTTTTCTGAGAGGAACAAAGCCAGCTATCTTTGATAGTGGAGTTCCCTGTACTTGCGCTTTTTATTCATGAGAAACGGGTATGTTTTTGTAACTTTTAAAAAAGCTGTTTCTCTGTTTGTTAGCACAAGATAGGCTAATCACTTTGCTCCGTTGCATTGTTTTACTCACTTCCCACATTAACCTTTTATGTTCTGCTCTGTCACTACTTTTGCTTCTTTCTGTTGTTTCGATCTTTCTCTACCATTGTCCTCGTGTCACTTTGCTTTGGTGTTTCAGAGCCTTTTCCTCTTTGCATAATACTGTCTCACTATTCATTACTTCTTCCTCCTTGACTTCAGTTGCCTTCATCCCCCCTAATCATGCCACTACTCCTTTGTGCTTTTGTCATCCCTTATTGTATCTCACTGTGATCCTTTCTGTCACTAGGACCCCAAGGGCTCCCCTCTACTTCCTCCGGACCTGTTAAAGAGTCTGGCTGCCTTGGAGGAAGAGGAAGAGCTGATTTTTTCTAACCCTCCTGATCTTTACCCAGCTCTGTTGGGGCCTCTCGCCTCTCTTCCTGGACGAAGCCTCTTTGTATGTATTTTACATAATTCTTCTTGCTCTAACCTCAACTTCTTTTCTGAGATTTTGTAGTACTTGGAATAGGTGGTTTCTTCTTTCTAGGGCTTTCCTTTTTTATAGAATTTTAAAACTTATTTCCTGATTGCCCAAACTAACCTTCAAATGGTAGTAGAACATAGCAAAACATGTCTGATTCCATAGTTTCCCCAAATCTTATAGCTTTGTTACATGTTATCCAGAAAGCATCCTGCAGGGCTGGTCACACACAGAATGTGATGCTGGCCAGTTAACTTACTTTTCAGGTATCATTTCCACCTGGACCCAGGAATTTTAGGTGTCATTTAATCTTGTTTAGGAGCAGTGAGATTTTTCCTCATGTATTCAAAATATGAAATGAAATAATGTTCTAGATGTTTTACTGAATAAAAAAATTCTAGATTGATTTTACCGAACAGTATGTGGTTCTTTTCTGCTTGGTTAACTAAGAGCCCTGATCTAAATTCAGAGCCAGATTCATAAACAGAATGAGTGAAAATGAAAAGGCCTCTATTTATAAACATAGTTGGAGTACCATAAATGAGTGAACACAGAGATAAATAACTAGAATGACATAAAGTCTAAGAATTGATTAGTGGTATCTTTTAAAAATAACCTTCTGTAACCCAGTGTGCATTTCAAAGAATGCCATTGTTTAGATATTTTACTAAGGTGGGGGGACTGTAAGAAAGATGTATGCTATGAGGTCTTTCCCCCACTCCCTTCATGCCATCTTAATAAAACATAAAACAATTCTTGAGTTCCACTTTCTTGCTGTTTCTTTCCCATAAACACGGGGTAAGAAGACATTCGTAAGATTAAAGTGCATTGATTTTAGTATTAGGAGAACTGAAAGCTGCTTAATGGCTCTCGTGACACACTGCCATCCCTGGCACTTGAAGTTCCCTTAAGAATTTTCCTGAGTGAGTGGCCACAGAGACCTCTCACTTCCCCCACCCACTAAAGTTAGCAGAAATAAAAGATCCCCTAGACACTTGAACAGTCGTAGTGCAATGGCAGTGCCTAGAGGTTGTTGAATGTCCAGATACTAAACTGTTGCCTCTATGTGTTTGCCTTTCTTGCTGCTTTTTTTCGCTGAGGTGGCTTGAGGGACAGGCAGGGGAGCACGTCTCTGTACACTAGTTTCCTAATCTCTTAGTTCCTGTTGTGCTTGCCCCTTCCGTCGGAAATGAAGCTGATGGTGGAACAAGCGGAAGGGGGCCTTTTCGTGGATTTTTTTTCATGTTTAAAAAAACCTTACGGTAGCCCTTCTTATATTTAACATCGTTAATGATGTGTGTGAAAGTACCTTGCATGCAGCAGGTGTTTAATAAATGCTTTGTTGACCAACAATTCAGTGACAGTGAGCATCAGAGATTCAGCTTTTTTTTCCCTAATAACTTTCTTAGGGCCAATAAATGTAAGCTTGACTTCAGCAACTATTTTAATATATACCACAAATAGAGTTGTTAGGAACCATGCTAACAAAACCAGTTGTCAAATGGATGTAAAGGCTTTTTAAAAGTCATTAATGTCAGTGTTTTAAAAATTTAGGGAGAAAACAGTGCCAGATCAGTTCCCCTTCTTGTTTTGAGAGTATTTTGAATGCAACTGTTGACAAAGGGATTCCTGAGGTTCTTGCCTAGTGAACACTCCAAACTGCCAGTTTCCAGGGTCCCTGCCAGGATCTCTGTGCCAGATTAGAGGTGCTGATCAGGAGGGCTCTATCTCACCTGTGACAACTGGCACTTATCTGGTGTCATGGTATTCACGGATTTGAATTTATATCTTCTAAGCTTTAAATTGTACAAGATAGGTGAGTACAAGTATGCTTAAATTGTGGTCTTTTGGTTGGATGGTATCTTAAAATTAATACTAAGAAAATGGAAGGCATAATTTACCTACCTTTTTTTTCCGGGACTGTGAAGAAATCCTTATTGGAGAAGCCCTCGGAGCTCATGTCACATTCATCCTCTTTCCTGTCGCTCACCGGATTCTCCCTCAATCAGGTGCGTAAACAGTGAAGCATCCTGCTTTGTGCTTTTATTGTGGGCTAGTATTTTCTTTCCCGTTCTATTTCAATACGTCTGTTTTTCTCTTTCCTTTCTCTTCCATATATTGGTGTTTTCCAGGTATTTGATTTTATTCCCCACCCACCTTTGATTAGGGTACACTAGAGACTTGTATAAGTTTGAATTGTTTAACTTCTCATTAATGTTAAAGTCTCTGGGGCTCTGTTGTTCAGCAAGTAAATTATTCATACTTTCTAACCCAGGTGGTTTACATAGAGCAAAATAAAGGGTGAGGGAAAATAAAAGGCAAATGAATTAAACGGGAAAACTGAAAGAAACAGAAGTAAAAGCCTTCAAAAGTTTGTCTTGCAAAGAAAGGCTTACGATAAGCATCCATGAGCATGAACACTGCATTTTCTTAAATCTCTTGCTTTGGCGTGAGTTTGTTAACTTGGTGGTCATTGTCTTTCAGGAAAGATACCCAAATAACAGTGTGTTCAATGAGGTATATGGGAAAAACCTGACTACCAGCTCTAAAGCAGAACTTAATCCCTCAATGGCCCCCCAGGAAACATCATTGTACTCCCTTTTTGAAGGGACTCCATGGTCTCCATCACTTCCTGCCAGTTCAGGTATTGACTAGTCTTTAAATTATAGACCTTGCATTTCCCGTACACTCAAGTTGATTAAGAGATGGTATGATTGTGTCTCAGTGGTTTTTGTTTGTATCTTGTTGTTGTTATTTGTTTGTTTTTAAAGTAACTTCTGAAGGAAAATAGAAAAAAAGCCTGATGCACTGGTTCATATGATAAGTGACACTAAAAAGCTGTTTTACATCCTCAGTAATGAACAGAGTTGTAAGGGAGAAAAATACGAGTTTTATCTTAAGGTTTGCAGCTGTTTTTTAGTTTTATTTGTAGATATTCGTTCTTTGCAGGAAAAGTTGCACTTTTAAAAATACAGAGTTAATAGTAATTTTTAAGGTTAGGCAATTCTGTTCTGATAGAGAAGAGCAGTTATACTTACCTGAAAGAGGCACACCAAAAGAATGCATTTATTTGACAAAACTGTGTACTGTTTTAGTTGTAAGGCAAGGAGTGTGCCTTAGGCATGCACAGCAGGACAGACGAGTGCATTTGGCAGGATCCCTTTTGGGGCCTTTATTTGCCTCTCCTGAAACCCTGTGATTATTGTTAACAGAATTTAAGTGATCAGACCTACAGGAAACTTTCATTCTTGGCATGTTTGTGAAACATCTTTGTTCAGTGTCCTGCGTTGCTATTATTTCATAGATCATTCAACACCAGCCAGCCAGTCTCCTCATTCCTCCAACCCAAGCAGCCTGCCAAGCTCGCCTCCGACACACAACCACAATTCTGTCCCATTCTCCAATTTTGGACCCATTGGGACTCCGGATAACAGGGATAGGAGAACGGCAGATCGGTGGAAAACTGATAAGCCAGGTGAGATCCAGACTTCATTGCTTAGCGAAAGTGAAAGAACTTACTCTACCCTTCCCTAGCTTTTGGCATTTGGCAATGGTAGAACAACGTCTTGAATTATTCTTATCTCTTCATTCCTAGCCATGGGTGGGTTTGGCATTGATTATCTCTCAGCAACATCATCCTCTGAGAGCAGCTGGCATCAGGCCAGCACTTCAAGTGGCTCCTGGACAGGCCATGGCCCATCCATGGAGGATTCTTCTGCTGTCCTCATGGAAAGCCTAAAGGTGAGTGGATCAGGAACAAGAACCGCAAGAGATGTCTCTGCTTTCATTCACATAAATGGCTAATCTTATTCCTGAGGCCCTTAGGATTGATTCATAGCACATATCTAGCAAAGTCCTAGAAGCATGGTCTGCCTTATAAGATTCTTGAATAGGACTTTTTTTTTTTTTAATTTGTGAATTCACTAGTGATAAAGCAGTATCCTCAGGGGGACAGACATGAAGGTTTTAGTTGGATTCTAAGATTAAGAAAATTCGGACTCACCTTGGAATATTTCATTTAAGCCTTTTCTAAACAAGTCAAAGAAGGGCATCTAATTTCAGAAATGTTTTGTTTGCCTGAAACCTTTCTGGTAAATGCTCTGGTCTCACATGGAGCTGAGTTTTAGCAAAAAGACTTTATGTAAAACATACTTTCACCTTTTCTGGTTTAAAATGATCTTAATAGGAACTAACCTGTCTTGAAGACCTGGTCTTACAACAGGTTTTTCTAATAGCTGGGGTTTTTTAGGGTTTGGGAATCTTGGGGCATACATGCCTTTATGTTTGGCTGGGATTGAAAAACAAATCCCTTAAAGACAACCAGGCATTTGACCTCTGCTGACAAGCTCTGGGCTGTTTTTCAGTCTATCTGGTCCAGTTCCATGATGCATCCTGGACCTTCCGCTTTGGAGCAGCTGTTAATGCAGCAGAAGCAGAAACAGCAGCGGGGACAAGGCACCATGAACCCTCCACACTGAGGCCAGAGTGGCAACCCTGGGAATGAAGGCTCCATAAACCATGGCATGTTGGGTTTGCAGGACTGGCCCACACAGTCCCCTGCAGGTGGCAACCCTCTTTTCTGTTTCTCGCTGTTGAGAGGGTGTAAGTGTTCCACCAGCCCGCTGAGTGTGCACGAAATGTCTGCAGTGCAGCAAAAAGAAAAAACCATCAGGAACTCTCCGTCCCCCCGGGGCCATCCGGAGGGAGAGAGGAACTGCTGTTTGTCTCACTCAGTTACCTGATATCACCGCCTTTCACCTTCTCCATCGTGCATGTCCCCAGCCACATGGGAAGTGAAAGCTGAGAAGGGAAGGCAGATGGGAGAAGCCAATGGGAACGTCTCAGTCCTTTTTTTCCTCTTTGGGGAGTAAAATAGGAATCCATTAATGATTGCTTTGCTGACTGAGAATGTAGTTGAAATTATTCCTGAACATCTTTTATTATTGTTATTACTCTCAGTAGTAAGATATCACATTGAATTCTTCCATACACGGATGTGCTTCTTCTAGTCAGTGTGTAGCAAAGAAAGCCCCGTGCACTGCTCCTGTGAGAGGTTGGTGGTGACAGGATGGGGAAGCTGACCTCTTCAGCCGGTGGAAATGTTCCATAAGGGAGAGGACAAGGCCTCAACTTTCACTCAGAAGGTTCTGGTGGGCCCTCCTCTGGCCTGGAGACTCCAGCAGGAAATGCCCTTCACTCTGTAGGTGCTTGAGCCCCAATCGAGGATGCAGCGTGGGTGGTGGTGCTGGGCTGGACTTGCAGACAAACTGCTGTAGGATTTTAAATTAACGTTTTTGATTCCTGTACATTTTACGGTAGCAAAGCAGGCAGTCCCACAGAAGGCAGGCTAGTCCATTCATGGCCTGACGCATTTTAATAGGTAGAAGCTTTCAGTGTGGTTATTTTTTGTTTGGTTGGTTTTTGTGCTCCCATCCTACTTACCACCCACCTCCTCCTGTCCCTACCTCCACCCCTTTTCTACCCTGTGCTGTGTGCTAGTAATCGTTATTATTCCTAACATGCACAACATCTCGCCAACAAGCAACAGCATGGGGTCCAGCAGCTGGGGCCCGAAAGACAGTCTGAAGAAGAAGGAAGCAGCAGCAGCGGCGTCTGCATAGCCCACCGAGGGGCCAGGCCCCTGCCCGGCTGCAGTCTCCCAGCCTCCACTTTCAGAGTGAAATTCAAGGCAACGCGGACACGTGTGCGTCACGCAGAGAAGAAAACACAAGGAAGTCCATTCTGGAAAAGGCGAAAGGAAGGAAAATAAACTTTTATTTGATATTTATTAGAAGGAAAGAGGACTGAAAATTTTCTTGTGTAGAAACAGAAGGACAGCATTACTGATAGTCATTTCCTGGAAAAGTAATATTTTAAGGGGAAATTATGGAAACAATCTAAATGTCCAATTGCTGTGCTAGTGGTAGGGTTTATTTTCTGGGAGAGCTCTCCTTTGTGTGTGTGTGTGTGTGTGTGTGAGTGTGCGTGTGTGTGCACACATGCCCGTCTGCTCCCCCAGAGGGGAGGGGTGATGCGTGTGAGTGTGTGGAGCTAGCGTGGGACTTAAGAGCTGGAAAACAGCTGCAGAGCAAAGCACATCCAGGAGCCCCGGTCGTCACTGGAGTCTGGGCAACCCCAGCAATGAAAAGGGGTGAGATTCATGCTCATTGCTCTTCCGAGACAGTGGTTGGAGTCCTGTATGCTTACATTATTGCTCTTTTAGTTTGACATGGTGTTTGGGGTTTTTTCTGTTTTGTTTTATTTTTTTGAAAGGTCCCAAAGGGTGAAGTCCCCTACCCAATGGCAATATGAAACCTTTTGTGCTTCTCTCCAGCCCCTTCCCCGTGTCCACCTTTCTCCCTTTCCCTCCGTCCCAAGCCTCCTTCCCTTCTGCCTTTACCCACTCTGTGTGTTTGAGCTCTGCATTCAGGCAGCTGCAACATTCCAGTGTTTGAACTGTCACGGATTCTTGCGCCCTTGACAAGCTCACCAGGTTCACCGTCTCGGTCCCACGTAGTGCCCACGTCCCATCTTCAGCCCCATTTCTGCATGAGAATTTGGTGTTTGGAATGTTTTCTGACTCTTGGGGCGGGGTTCCTCGCCTTATCATCCTCAGTGTGGAGTAATGAGGAGGGAGAGGAGAATCTTCATCAGAAACTGGTTTTGTGTAGTAAACTTTCTTTTGTGTTTATTTTTTTGTTTTTGTTTTTGTTTTTTGTTTTGGTCTGTCTGTGCAAGACCTGCAGCTGCTGAATTCAGCTTTGCCTTTAATTAAACCATGTTCTCTCCAACCAGATCTGTGTATAGACTGTTTCTTTTTTATCCTAAAAGAAAATCCAACTTAAAAAACAAAAACTTAAACTACTTACAAGTCATCTAGGGGAAAGCAAAGAAGGTCAAAAATCAAATATGCTTCAGGGTTATTTTTGCTTTTAGTAAGGTTCCTAACCAATATGCAGGATTATGGAAAGGGATGGGTAGAAAGAAACTGTCAATTCTTTTAACAGCTCAGCATTTTTATCCTTATTGTCACCCTTAATAAAGCAACTCAGAGATAGTTTATCCTTTTGGCCCAGTAAACTCACTAAGTGTGATGAGCAGCAACAGTAATTGGTGTTCTTTGCTTTGGTGTTGTATTTCTTCAAGTTGTGTCTCATATTTCCAGTGGTAGCCTGCTGGGCCTTTGCATGTGCCAGAAGCCAGCACCGCAGCTCACCAGTGTGTGTGTGCACGCCCAGCAGCTGCCCTTTCACCTTGATGTGGATTCAGTCTACACTTCAGTTCCTAACTGTGCTGTTCACACACACCTACACACTTGAAAAATTGTTAACAAAGCCACATGTATTCTACAAAAGGAAGTGGGGGGATCAAGGCCAGGTCTTTAGTATTTATGGAAAACTCTCACCCAAGTTAACCCTGAAAAACTGGGCCATTTGGTTAAATGATAACCAGAATAAACCGATAGCATTCTATCATGTATATTACTAGAATACTTATTATAAAATGTTACCTAGTAGGGTAGTCCTAACCAACTGGCTTCCTGAACACAGCTGCTTTTCATTTCTTATTTATTCGTGGCATACATTCATTATTGAACTCTTAAGAAATGTTCCTCCCTGAGAACACATGAAGGGATGTAGTTCTAGTATTTTAATTTTCTGTGGAATTAAAAGCTGTATTTCAGGGGTACATAACTCAGTCTAGGTTCTGTTTAAGCAACAAGACTGTTAACCCCCCAAAATGTTAATTTTGTGTGTGTGTGAGCGTGCCTTCTGAATTACCTGTAAAGTAACCTGAGGCCCTAGGAGTCTGTGATAGGAATGGTGCAGGAATGGGGGTAATTACACTTAGGTCTTGGGCCTGCACTCTGGGTATCTTGTTTTTGTAAGTTTTTTATTGAGGCATCACACACACAGAGAGGTGTACCAATAGTAAGTATACAACTCGGTGAATTTTCACGAACTGAACATATCTGGGTAGCCAGCACTCAGAGCAAGAAACAGATTATCGGCACCCTGGAAGACCCCCTCATGCCCTTCCAGACTCTTCCAACCACCACCCCCTCGCCACCTCCAAGGTAATCATCATCTTAAGTTCCACATCACTGTCTAATAGGTTAAATTTTAACAGGGAAAAGTAGATGAATTAATACTTCCAAACAGCGATGTCTGTACAGTGTACTGCAGAGGCGTGCTAAATCTTGGAAATGATAGTACCTCCTTTTCTTCAACTTTGCAGGTTGTGAAACATCCTAGACTCCTCTAGGAGTGCTTTCCAAGTCCGTAGTTGTACGTTCTTCAACAAAAACTTTGGGGAAAATGCCAACTTTCCCTTTGCACTCCCCCTCCAGCCATTCTTCATTCACTGATAAAAGGAGAAGTATACTTCAATTTCTAAAATGAGTATAGGAGAATTACCTCATCTGAATATTGCACACATCTTTTGTCGGTCCTTCACCCCCTAGTTGTGCTAACAGGGAAAAGTCTGCTTTGGAAAGTGATTGGAGGTAAGAGCAAACATAGGACTTAGCCATTTCATTATTGGTTTCTGTCTTAGACATGATAATGGAGGAATAAAATGCAAAGGAATGAATTAGACTTTTCAAAATGTTACCAAAGAAATAAAGTGAAAGAAATTGAATAATGAATCTTTAGATACGATTTTTTTTTTAACAAAGAGTTTTAGCTTTGTTGGGAATCGTTGTTTTGATTACAGGAAAGGGACATGCAATTGGTTAAATATATTAATAATGAATGTTCACTGGTGAATGATCAAAGAATTGAGAGTTGGAGCTAGTGATGGGTTCAGTCCATGTTTGTAAAATACAAGAATTTTCATAGCACCTATTTTGAGACTAATAAAGTGCAGGCACAGACTTCATAACTCAGTTGTAGATAATATCCCCGTTTTACTAAGGAAAAGGAGACCCAGAGTGATTAATAGTTTGTTCAGGGTCATTCTGCCAATAAATACCAGACACCTTAGGTATGTATGACCTACTCCAAAGCCCATCTACCAGACCGTAGAACCAGTTCAGAAGTTCATCTTTGGATGTAAGACATCTGTATCAGATGTTACAGCAGCACTGGTGCTTGGATCCTGTCCCCAGAAACTCTTGCTTTAATTAGTGTGGAGTGTGGTCGGGCATCAGAGTTTTTTCTAAAGTTCACTCAAGGTGATTCTAATTGCAAACTGTTGTCTTGATTCTTCCTCCTATAATGTGAGTCATGGATCAACATTTGTTGTCGTGGGTCCTGGGAGCATACTAGAAATGCCCAAATCTCAGGTCCTACCCCAAACCTGAGTCGGAATCCATTTTAACAAGCTCCCCAGGTGATTCACATTTTAAATTTGAGAAACTTTTGGAATGAAACTCTATCATAACCGTTGAATACAGTTGAACTCGCCCCTCAGCCCCACACAATGTTTATGCTGAATCTGTTTTCTCTGTAAGTGTTATTATATCAAAATATTACATGGATACTTTCCGAATTAGACCAACTTAGACTTTTATACGTATCCCAGTAGAGAGTACACCACCTTCTCTGCATACCTACCCAGAAGGTTTTTCAGAGCATTCACTTGTCTTTTTCTTATCCCCAACCCTGAAAAAAAACCTCTGGACAATTGGTTGATACTGACACTTAAAAAATGGTGTGGGGAGTTAAATCCAACCCTTACAACTGAGTTTCCATTCTCCCTTTCAGAAGATATGCACTGATTGTGCATCCTGTTTCTGTTTTTCCTTACTCATATTTTGAGTTAGTTGCCACAGTCGCGTACACTCACTCTTTACCCCATTAACTTTACAATCTCCTGCTCTCGTTTCTTAACCTGTTAGATTTTCTGTTATAATTGATGATAGTGTTCGGTTTTCACTACTTTGCATTACTAATGCACAAGATTTCAGCCATGTGGATGAAGCTTTTGATGTGACTCTTGCTTGTTACCACGTAGAGAAATAAGACTGTGTCAAACCATGAGTTAGAGCGGTGCTCCTCTGTATGGTCAGTAGACCAGCATCACCTAGAAGCTTGTTAAAAATGCAAATTAGGGCTTCCCTGGTGGCACAGCGGTTGAGAGTCCGCCTGCCGATGCAGGGGACACGGGTTCGTGCCCCGGTCCGGGAAGATCCCACATGCTGCGGAGCGGCTGGGCCCGTGAGCCATGGCCACTGAGCCTGCGCGTCTGGAGCCTGTGCTCCGCAACGGGAGAGGCCACAACAGTGAGAGGCCCGCGTACCACAAAAAAAAAAAAGCAAATTAGTGAGCCCCACCCCAGACCCGAATCAGAATCTCTGGAGCTGGGCCAAGGAATTTTATTTCACAAACTGCAAAGGATGCATGAGCATACTTAAGTTTGAGAAGAACTAAATTAGAACCCTCCACTTATTTCAATGTTTAATGTGTTTGATTTGTAACATCCAGGAAAGTTGCCAGAGAGAGCAATTCTGAATAGTTGCTTCTTAAGGCAAAATTTATCCCCTTCTTCCTTCATCTTCGAAAAGTATATCAATTCAAAGAATTGTAGTTTGCAGAAGATCAGTATCATGTGGTTTGGTGCAAAGGCAAAATGATTCCAACCACCTTCCAATTCATTAGTTCTGGTATGAGAATCCATGGCTTCCAAAACAATCTTTAATAATCAAAATGTGATTTAAGTCTGCCATTTGTTGCTTCCCTGCCCAGGAGAGAGCATCAGATGGAAAGGTCAGTGCTCAGTTTTGCTCCCTCTGGCTGAAAGCTAGGCAGGATATTGAAAACATCGGCTAAAGTTTGTAGCTTATTGATGTTTTCTTCTCTCTGCTCTTGAATTTATTCCTGCTAACGTGAATTAGTTACTCTAATCCAGGAGTAGCACTTACCCATTGATAACACCAGGATTACATCCCCTTCCAGAAACTCCAGGTCTTCTGGCTGGGTAGCCTCGTAGCTGAAGAGTGCTACCACTTGGCTCCCTTCCTTAAGCTGAGCTTCTGTTGTCTGGTTATTAGCATCCGATTTTTTGGTTTCTTCAGTTTCATCTGGAAAGCCCTGGTCACCCTGAAATAATAAAAGGCCTGTTAGTTTTCCTAACTTCCTGCAGCGAACATTGAACATCACCAAAGTCAGCATCAGTCAGCAAAATGTCAGTGTAGCACCTGGGTTATAAACTCAGAAAGGCCAGTCTGTGATCAGTACCTAGCATAGACCTGGCATGTACTTTATGAACACCGGATGGTTGGATAAATGAAACCAAAAGGTATGCAGGACTGTAGATAGTCTTAAAATCTTACTGAAACCTTACAGTAATCCTGAAAAAAGGTAGAATAGGTACTAGTGTTACTTCTTTTCAGATGGAGAAACAGAGGTTGAGTCACAAGTAAGTGACAGAACCTGAAGTCAGACCTGGGTTTCTAACTCCCAAATCCAACACCCTTTCCCCAGTACCCACGACACTGGGCACCTTGTTATAGAAATGCAAATTTTCTGCACCATCCCAAATCTATTAATCAGAAACTCCCTGTAGGAGTTAACAATTGTTACAGAAACTAACAATGATTTCAAACATTAAAAAAAAAAAAAAACCCTTTTCAGTGAAGTAGTTCACATTTAGAGCAGAACTCCTAAGCAGAATCCTTTAAAGACAGAACTGAAGGGATTAGTCCAAAAACAGACAATTGGAAAACCTAGAGTGACCTTTCAAACTTTCAAGGGACCCCTTGCACTGGCACGCACCCTCAGGGTCCTGGGCCTTTCCTCTCAGCCAGAGGCACCAGGACGTCTCAGCTCCAATGTCTCTACTTCCTGAAGGC